ATCGCAACCACCCGCATCACGCTCAGCCAGTGAGCGCACCGGCCATTCCTATATAGGATCCAAACCCGCAGCAGGAGTGTCGCTGCGCTCCCAGCGCCGCACTCTCCCGAGTGCGCCATGGGGCCGGCCCTATTTCTGCCATTTTTTTACTGACTGTGGACAGTTATTTAATCTTTCCAAGACTCAGTTTCTTTCTTCATAAAATGGTTATAACATAAAGGCAGCCCTCACTTTGCACAGTTCTGAGATGCATACATTTCAGTTATCACGGTTTAGTTTACACAACTCCCCCAATATCAAGGTTCAAATGACAGTTACCATAGTACATTTACCATGAGTAATTACATAGAAGACAAACTACACCACAAGCTCTTCAGTACACAAATCACTACATAAATGACAGATGTGCATCATGATCGGTAAACAGTCACATCACTTCTTTCAAAGCCTGTCAGTGATTGGTCACTGTGCATCTTCACACAGAGATAGCGAAGTGTGTAGCTGTATTACCACCATGTCTCCCAGCAATAAACCCACTGGGCATTTGCATTAGTCTGTTTTGTGTTGCTATAACAGAATACCTGAAACTGGGTGATTTATAAAGAGAAATGACATTTATTGCTTACAGTTTCTGAGGCTAGGAAGTCCAAAGTCCATCTGGTGGTGGCAAGTGACCCAGGGGTCTCACATTGCAACATGGTGGAAGCAGACAGAGCAGAGAGAGAGAGAAAGACAGATTCTCCTCTTTTTTTAAAGCCCTCAGAACCATGCCCCTGACCACCATTTTTAATCCATTCACTACTGCATGGTCCTACAATCCAATCACCTCTTCAAGGCTCCACCTTTCAATTACCGTAATAGGATTTCCCACCCTATTAACAGTCATGGTGGGGGCTAAGTTTCTAATACATAAAACGTGGGGGACACAATTCAAGCTTCAATGAGTTTTGGGGGGACATAATTCAATCCACTACAAAAAGTAATATATATCTACGACAGAAATTAAAATATTGTATAACTATATAATGTATACATTATAATCACAGCCCCCATAATAACCATTACCAGTTTTGATATACATTAATCCAGACACTTCCATACAATGCCTGACATATATATGTATGTTACTATTACTTTTAACACAAATAAGTTCACACTATACATACTTTCCTGCAACTTGTTTTTCACTAAACAATGTATCTTGGATATCTTTCTATGTCACTACATAGTGCTCTATCTTTTCTTTTTAGTGGCTGCATAGTACTCCAAGAATCTTCATATTTTTAAAACTATTACAAAAGAGACAAATCTAAAGGGGGGAAACAAAAGCAGAATATTTCACAGTTCGTGATACATTCTATCTGAAGTTACTTTTGGTCTGTGCTTTCGCTGATTATATTTAAAGTGAAGCTTTGGGCTGAACAACACCCTAACAATAACAAGGTGCTTGTGCTCTACAGAAAATGCAAATTATATTTCCTTTCTTACCAAGTCCATTCAAGCTACAAAATCAGACCATTACCTTCTCAATTTTAAAAGATACATTTTTTATTAGCATTCACTGATGGCTGTGTAAAAGTAAAACTTAATTTCCATAGGACTTACGTGTCAAAATGCCATCTTTCTCAAAGCACATTCAGAAAGATGAATACTAAGTGGGATGATGAGGATAGGAAAAAAGCACCTAATCCTGCAGTCCTAACCTGTCAGAACTCTCATTAATATTAATGCAATGCTATAAAATTCCACAAAGATAAAGTGCAATGGTTTTACTTGTTAATAAGATTTCAGGAAAACTAAAGAAAAAAAATCTATAGAATCCAAATCTCCATAGCTCTAAAAAATATAAATAATTTATTGGTTGCAATGTGTGTGGAAGAACTTAGTTTTAGTGGATAATTAAGGAGAGATAAAATACATACAGTTTTATTAAAGAAATGCATTCAATTTGGTTAAATTGAGACTGATAGAATAAATATAACAACCATATTTACTTGCCCTTCTTTAGGTGGTTAAAAAATGCTTTTCAAATGGGACTTGAAGTATGATTGATGGATTCTTACCAAATACACAAATATGACAGAAAAACAGAATCAGATCCTAACAAGCTTGAAAAAACTTCACTTTCTGATATATATTTTTAGTTGCAGATTTATAAAAACACTACCTTAAATATCCTGTTGATACATATTAGTAGTAGCTTTTCTATTCTTTCCTTTTCCTTTTTCCTTTTTTTTTTTTTTTTTTTTTGCAAAAGTCAGGTTTAGCTGAAGGATAAACGATTACCAACAGTTTAACTCAACAGCATTTAACTAAAGTCATGGTATGTTAGTCCCCAAATATTTGTACAATCAGTGAGCAGACACTCAAATAAATTATTTAAAAAATGAAATCCAGTGAGGTCCACTCATGCTCAATGCTTTATTCTGCAAGATCCCTAAAATCATGTTTTTAAGAGAACCAGATACTATAGAGGAAAAGTTTAAATGTTATTTTAAATTAAAGATAAATGTAGAAAATACACAGTGTACTGTATAGTTGAGTGCATTTACAAGATAAAATTTTGATATTCTTTTGATTACAAATAGTTCACTAAAAAGAAATAAAAACACCAACACATAAACTACTCTATTGTTGGATTATGCATGTGATTTATGACTATTTGTATTTGGATAGGTTGTAAAGTACAGAGAGAAAAAGACATCTTACGCAAAGCACGTGAATGCTGACACGGCAGCTGCACTCCCACCTGAGCTTCCTCCAGTTATCAGCCAATCTGAGTCCTCTTTCTCACCAGGCAACTTCTGCTTCCTCTTTTCTCTATATTGTTTTGAGTAAGTCCAGGGGTTTTTAACCGGTCCAAATACACCATCTGTGCTTCCAGATCTGAGATGAAGAAGTGAAGCAAGATACCTTAGTAAAACTTTCATATGATGTGAAACTTTCATCTCCTGAGTATATTATTTGCTTCTGACACTCATTGAGCTTTTTAATAATCCACTGTACCTTGAAATGAAAAAGGTATGAAGCCTATTCAGATGTAGCTTTGCTTTTGTTAATGAGACAGTTGAGGTGGAGGATGGGAAATAAGGGCATCTGTGGTAGAGAGTAGAGAAAACTAGTCTGCAGAGAAAAGATTTTATCTCAATCGATCATCCAATTCAACTAAAGATGATCTTCCTTATAAATTAGAGTTTTCCAGTTGAAAAGGGTCACAAACATTCAGATAAAGTCTTTTGAAGTAGCCCCGCCCTCAATCAGAAAATTTAACAAAAGCATTAAGTAGAATGCTAATAACTTATTTTTTAATTTTTAAATAATTTTATTCCCAGATATTGCAAAAATAAAAATAACATATAAAGCACTTTATACCCTTTACCCAGATACACCTATTGTTAACATTTTATCCCATTTACTTATAGTTTGCCTGTTCTGTGTGTCTGTAAACATATGTACATATATGCACATTTTTTTTTAACCACTAAAGGGTAAAGCGTAAAGGGTAAATTATACATACCATGGCCCTTTACCCCTAAATATTTTAGTACATATTCACTATGTATTTCCTAAGAATAAGGATATTCTGTTCTACAATCACAGTATACTTATCAATTTCAGTAACATCAATATAATACTTTAATCTACTGTGAGATTATGTAATCTAATTTGGTCAGCTGATCCAACAGTGTACTTTATAGCATTTTATCCTCTTCCAGATCAAGTCTAGAGTCAGGTACTGCATTTAGTTATTATCCCTAGCCCCCACCCCTTTTTTTTCCTTTTCTTTTTCTTAATTCTTTACCAGCCAATAGACATTGAGTTACTTCCAGTTTTTAGCCATGATGAATAAAGCCAATATAAATATTGTAGTGAAAGGGCCTAGCCAGTGCTTTCTTGTTAACATAAGCCTTTATTTCTTAGGTAAATACTTAAGACTGAGACTGTTGGATCACATGGTAAGTGTATGTTTAACTTTATAAAAGAAACTGCAAACTATTTTCTAAAATGGCAATACCATTTTGCATTCTCTAGCAGCAATGCACGAGAAACTCAATTGTTCTGCATCCTTGTCAGCACTTGATACTGTCATTTTTGTCAAGCCATTCTAATAGGTACATGTATCTCATTGTCATTTTAATTTGCATTTTCCTAATGACAAATGATATTAGGCAGTTTAAAAATGTGTTTGTTAACTGTATATCTTCTCTGATGAAATGTCTGCTTAAATCTTTTCCCTAATTAAAAAAAAAAAAAAAGTAGTTTTCTTATTATTGAGTTGGGAAAGTTCTATATATTTTGGATACCAGTTCTTTATCAGATAATGTTTTGCAAACATTTTCTTAGTCTGTGGCTTGCTTTTTCATTTTCTAATAGTATATTTCCAAGTACAGAAGTTCGTAATTTTACTAAGGTCTAATCTATCAATTTTTTTTTTATGGATTTGTGCTTTATGTGTCCTATCTAAGGAACCTTTGCCTAACTCAAGGTTGCAAAGATTTTCTCCAATGTTTTCTTCTCTAAGTTTTATAATTTTAGATTTTACTTTTTAAGTCTCTTTTAATCTGGAACATTTTCACAGCCTTTGTTTTTATGATGATTTTAATTGAATGCTTCTCATTTTGGATTTGACTTTTGTTTCCTTGTTATTAGATTCAGGTTATATATTCTCAGCTGGAATATTACATATGCAATGGTGTGTCCTTCTCACAGAATCACATCTGGAGGCACATGAAGTCCACTTCACCCTTGCTGGTGATGTTAATTTTGATCTGCTGATGAAGGCCATGTGCTAATAACTTATGCCCAAGTTTACTCTCACGGTTTAGTTCATTCAACATATATTTACTGAGTACCAAGAGATACCACTGTGCACAAGAAAGTCAAGGACTCTGTTTCTGTGAAACAGGGAACATGAACTAAGCAAATATTAAATATGTGACAAGTGTTATAAAAAGAAAAATATAAAGTGCTTTTGGTGAAAGACTGAATGATTTCCCCCATGATCAGAACAAGGCAAGTATATCTGCTCTCATAACTTCTACTCAACATTACACTAAAGGTCCTAACTAACTGGTGCAGTAAGGCAAGAAAAAGAAAGAAGAAGAAATAAAACTGTCTTTATTTGCAGACTATATGATCATCTACATAAAATATTCCAAAGAATCCACAAGATCAACTAGAACTAACAAGTAAGCTTTAACAAGGTCATGGGATACAGAGCCAATATAGAGAAATCACTTAATTATATTTCTATGTACTAGCAATAAACAATTAGAAATTGAAAAAATACCAAAAAATACCATTTTCTATAGCATTAAAAAAAAACACTTGAGGATAAATCAAACAAATTATATGCAAGATTTATATGCAAAAAATCATAAAGACATTGCTCAGAAACACAAAATCTCAATAAAAGGAGAGATAAAAGGTGATCATGGATTAGAAGGCACATATTAAGATGCTAATTCTTCCCAAGTCTATCTATAAATTCACCAAAATCACAATTAAAATTTTATCAAACTTTTTTGTAGAAATTAGCAAGGTGATTTTAATACTTATATGGAAACGCAAAGGACCTAGAATATGTAAAATGATTTTAAAAAAGAAAAGCAAAGTTGGAGGATTCTCACTACCTAATTTCAAGGCTTACTATAAAGCCACAATAATTAAGATGGTGTGATTTGGAGTAAATCAGACCCCAAAGAGATAGGACAGAGTCCAAAAATAAATCTACACATATGTGTTTGATTTTTGACAAAAAAAAAAAAGCTAAGATAATTTAATGATAAAAGGATAACCTTTTTCACAAATAGTGCTGGAACTATTTGCTATCTATATGTAAAAAAATAAACTTTAGTCACACCATATACAAAAAGTTAATTCAAAATGGATTGCAGGTCTAAATGTAAGAGCTAAACCTATAAATCTTGTAGGAAAAAAATCTTTGTAACCTGGGATTAGGTAAAGATATCTTAGGATACATAGAGCATAAATCATACAAGAAAAAAATTGATGGACTAGACTTCATCAAAACTGAGAACTTGTACTCTTTGAAAGGCACGTTCAGAGGATAAAAAAATAAGCCAGAGACTTGAAGAAAATATTTGCAAATCACCTTTCTGATAATGTATTTGAATCCAGATATATGAAAGAACTCTTACAACTCAATAATAAGACAACCCAATTTTTTAAATGGGCAAAAGATTTGAACAGATACTTCACTGAAGAAGATATATGGATGGCAAAATAAACATGTGAAAAGATGATTAATATCATTAGTCATCAGGCAAATGCAAATTAAAACCAAAATGAGATATGACTACCTATCAGATAACTGAACATAAGCTCACAGAGGAACTAAGAAACTGGCATTAGAATCAAGAAATCATCTCTCTAGTTTTAGTACCAACATTTAATGAAAATAAAGGCACAGGGCCGGCCCGGTGGCGCACTGCTACAGTGTGCCGCTTGGGAGCGCGGCAGCGCTCCCGCCGAGGGTTCGGATCCCATATACAGACCGGCCGCTCACTGGCTGAGCGAGGTGCAGGCGCGACATTGAGGGTTGTGATCCCGTTGCCGGTCCCGGTCCGGTACGGGCGTGACACTGAGGGTTGCGATCCGTGGCCGGTCACGAAAAAAGACAAAAAAAGGAAAAAAAAAAAAGAAAAGAAAAGAAAGGCACAGACGGAAGAAACACAAGAGAAAAAAATTTCAGTTTTACTTACCCCATAGCAAACTCATCTAAATTTGTTTTTCCCATTAGTAGTGCTCCCTGATCCAACAACTTCTGAACTACTGTAGCATTATAAGGAGGTACATAACCTGAAAAAAAATTCAGTTCCTTTTACTACAGGAGACAAAACAGTGAACATGTAAATCATTGGCTGGAAACAAGATTTTACACTGCAATTAAGCAATTCATATTGACATGTGTTAATTATTCCTAATTTGAGTAGAAGGTTGTACTTTCTTCTAAGAGTTAATTTTTTCCATTGCTAACTATATGTTTTCCATAGACAGTTGTGAATTCATTGTTCTATAATCTAAAAACACCGACTTTAACAGTTAGTACTACAAAATATTGCATGATAGATGTATCCAATTAATTAATCACAAATTGTTATTTTGCTCATTGTACTTGACTTTTACTTCTCAGATGATGTTATATCACACAGTAATTTTTATGTATTTTGTTAGAAATAGATCTTTTATTCTCAATTAAAATTTCCTCTATCTGTTGAAGAACTCGTTTATATTCCAAAATAATTAATAATAGCCTACCCATTACGGAACCTGGGGCATATTCCTCATAGGATATTACTTTTAGTGTACAGTACTCTGAATAATCTTTTTTCCATTTCTTTTTCCTCCAAGGATCCAAACATCTTGATAAACATGCTTCCTTTTGATCTACTAAACTGTAAAGAATAAAACATCACTACATTGCACTATAAGAGATGGAGGAGTCAGGAAATAAAAAGTAACTGGTTGGTAGACACTAATGAATCCTCACATCATCTTCAAGAGAAGAGGGATGATAGCCAGTTCATATTTGTTTCCATGTTATCAGTGATGTTTGTGGTGATCAGTTACTGAGTCTTCCTAAATAGGATCTGTAAAACTTCTGAAATAGCATTTATTCATTAAGATGGTCAACCTCTAAGGAATACTTCTGCATTCTGAAAGAGCAAACAGTAAAAAGGATATTCTATCCTGAGTATTTCCTTCAAAGATATAATTAGTCTGAGATTATCTGGGTGCTTTAATATCTTACCTTTAATTAAAACTGACAAATACCTACTTTTACAAAATTATTAATGCTCTGCTCAGTTAAACTTTACCTTTCAGCATATTTGATGCACATGTTGTCTCAATGCCGGATGTGCTAAAGTTGTCTTTTACTGCAATAGGAATTCCATCTAAATCCCCAAGTGACTGACCTGCATTAAAAAGCCAAGAGTGATATAGGAGATAATAGTTTAAAATACAGACACATTAATACTAGTTATTATAATAACTACTAGTTTTTGGCAAAGATACTTCTTCAGCAATCAAATTTATGTTAGAAATGATTACACATTATAAAGCATCACATATCCATTAGCCTCATTTTTATTTTGCCTCATGGCAAGTTCTTTAAATAAGGGCATGCTTTATGTTTAAAACTTCACTTGCCAAATGGAGACTGCTACATCCAATTAAATTCTTTCTCTTAATTTTCTCAATTAAGTATAATTAAGAATAATTTACCTTTCTTATATCTTTTCTCTGATTCTTCAGCTTGCTGGAAGGCCACCTCTTCTGATACAGTAATGTAAGCATTTAGAAACTTGGTCTTCTTGATAAGGGAGAGACATTTTTGACAGAGCTCTGTTGGTGTAATTTGGCCTTGTTTCAGTGCCGCAGAAACCTATAGTATATAAAATTCAAAAACCTTTTACTGAGTCTGCAGAAGTTTCAAATATTATATTAAGGGGGGCAATAGAGTGGCTAAATATAAAATGTTGAAATGAAGCTTGGGTTTCAAAATGAAGAACACCCATGGCCAGCCCGTGGCTAACTTGGGAGAGTGTGGTGCTGACAACACCAAGTCAAGGGTTAAGATCCTCTTACTGATCATCTAAAAAAAAAAAAAAAAAAAAAATCAAGAGAACCCATCAACTCCTTACTCAGTGTAGTGAATGGAGGGAAATGCATTGATCAGCTAGAAGATGGGCTGGAGTACACAACGTTCTTCTCCCTAGCTGACTAATCTGCTGTTTCTAAGTCAATTGTACAAACAATAGCAACAGGTCAGGTAAACCATCCCATACCAGTGGAGTTGAGGTATAGCATGGGTGAAGGATGGCATGGGGTAGATTACATACAACGATAGCTTAGCTGCAATGCAGGCAGTCCAATGTGAAAAAACAGAAGTGACAAAGCACTGCAGGATTTTATGGCTCTAAATGAGGTCTTTATACCTCTTGGAGAATTCAAGCAAGCATCACTACAAATTGAGAGAAAAGCTTACAAAATATAGGTTCAAGAGGAAACTAAAAACAAACTTTCTGAAATTGTGTTTCTAATGCATCAGGAAGTCTAGTAAAAAAAAGCATTAAAATAAACTGCACAAGAAGTGACCGTAACGTGTATATTGGATAGGCAGTAAGGGCTGAGATGAAGTGATGAATGTTTAATATTTCCTATAGGAAATAATAATAATAGGGCCGGCCCGTGGCTCACTCGGGAGAGTGCGGTGCTGATAACACCAAGGCCCCGGGTTCGGATCCTATATAGGGATGGCCGGTTCGCTCACTGGCTGAGCGTGGTGCTGACAACACCAAGTGAAGGGTTAAGATCCCCTTACTGGTCATCTTTAAAAAAAAAAAAAAAAAAGGAAATAATAATAATATGTACTTACTAATCAGGTAAAAGGAATGAATAACAAGAAGTCAAAGATGACACCAAAGTTTTGGAGATTTTATGAAAAGAGTGTTGGATAAGATGGGATCTCAGAGACAAAGGATAGGGGAAGGAGTAATACTGAGTATTTACCAAGAGCTCAGCACTGTTGCTTTACATGCACTATTACTTCATTTAACACTAAAACAACCACACAAGTTAGGATTATTAACCTCATTTGACAGATGAAGAAAGTGAACTCAGAGAGGTTGAGTAATTTGTCCAAAGTCACACAAATAGTAAAGGATAGGATGACTTCATAATAAAAGCTTCTCACCATTTCTATCTCTTTTCTATTAGAAGCTTAGTTTGTTCTCCAAGTTGACTGTATTTTCATATGTCCCATATGGATCAAGCAACAAGAGTTTGCATTGGAGGGAAAAATCTACAAATGATCTGCTCTTGTCTATTGAATAAATCATCAAAGCAATGGCATTCTTAAGGTTGAGGGTTTTAAATGAGTAAAGCAGTGGGAATAGGACACTGAGAGGACCCCTAATGCTCAGGGACAAGAGGAGGAAAAGGACTTCAATGCGGAGGCTGTGGGAATGATTTGGGATGGGGAGTGGCAACTAGGCTTGACTTAAAGGAGGTAACTTAGAAACAAGAGATATTTCTGTTGCATTGTTTGTATGAAATGTAAAATCCTTAGAAGAAAGGAGCTAGACAGAAGTAAAGATAGAATTGTGTTCTAATATTGTGAATATGGAGTGGGAAGAAAGAAGACAGTGGTAGGCTGGGTGGAAAAGAGTCAGACTAGCAAAAACCCAAAGCTAGAAAGACAGAAGTATACAGGCAGGCCTATCCCATGGCAGTGGTAATAATGAGGAATTGTGTCTGCCACTTTTTCTCTTTCCTTGATGCCCCTCAAGTCCCCTAATGCCTACTATCCTCTAGCCACTTTCTGACTTACCAACTGGTAAGAGAATAGGAGCTAGATAGTTACAACGCTGGTTAAAAGAGCAAGAAATAAGATTACCTAGGAATAGTCATTTTAAATGGTGCTGATATTCATTAGGACCATGTTTAGGAACTCGGATTTGAGAAAAATCAATAAGGGAATTGGGAAAGAGAAGTGAAAACAAAGATGCTAATTAGCTAAAAATAGACTGAACACAAGGAGTTTGAATCATACAGCTCCCCTGGGATAAAACTGCAGGTGTCACATCTGAATATAAAATGAAGTCTTTAAAATCTTTTGTTAAAAAAAAAAAATTCCATCTCTATGGTACTTTTCTCTAGGGGAAAGTAGGCATTTGCTTGAGGCCGCTGCTTCTCCTGTCTTAGCTCCTACTCACCGTGTACCAGAGTCCAGCGGGGAACGGGGTGTGTGCAGGCAGCTGTCCTCCTTGTTCCTCAATGCCTTTCCCTCTTCTCCCCCCCAGATCCCAGCTCATCTGAAGCACATACCTTGGAGGTGATTATATCACTCTCCCTGCTATGTTAATCTACAGTCTCCCTGGTACTCCCTTCAATTCACTGACGATTTTAAGCACCCAGCTCGCCGTCATCTTCCTTACTGTTGTCATTCTTGTTCACTGAAAACTTCAAGTCCACATACATTGATGCCTGGCCTCTCAGTTCTTGACCTCACTTCACACAAACTTTTCCTTCGCCTCATCCCAGTTACCAACATGCCTTGTAATAGCCCAGACTACATCCTTACCAATATCTGTGTAATCTCCTAAATTCAACTCTAGTCATCTCACATCTCCTACCCAAACAACCAGCGAGAAATGAGGACCTCAGTCACACAACCATAAGATGGATTCTGCCAACAAGTGAGGCTGAAAGAGGACCCTGAGCCCAGATAAATCCACAGCCCTGGCTGACGCCTTGATTTCAGCCTCGTGAGACTATGAGCAGAGAACCCAGCTACTCCATGCCCAGACACTTGACTGCGATAGTAAGATTTTGTTATTTTAAGATACAAAGTATATACTAATTTGTCATGCAGCAACAGAAAACTAATATACTTCCTTAGAAAAATTAAGAACCCTTCCTCAGGAACCACTCTTAGAAAGTAAGAGAAAAGAAAATTGCAAATATATAGGAGGGGTCCTCAAAAAGTTCATGGAAAGATTTGTATTATCTGTCAGTTTTATTTTTCCTATGAACTTTTTGAAGTACTGCATATAATTTAGTGATTTTGTCCCTATAATAAAATTAATGTTAATAATAGCTAGCACTTAGTTCTCAGCATTGTCCTAGATGCTTTACATTTCATTTAACCTTTATATCTACACTGAGGGTCTGATATTATTATCTCCATTTCACAGATTAAAAACTGAAGTTCCTCCTCAAGGTCACACAGCTAGAAAGTAGCAGAGCTGGGATTCAACTGAAGCCTGATCTTGTTTCCAAAACCCATGCTCTGAACCACAATACTATAATATTTCTCTATGTGAGGCATTGTGGCATTTACTCCTCTATAACAAAGTGGAGAAAATTTTTATTAACAGATAACATCAGAGGTTCACTTAGGAAAAAAACTGGCTTTCAAAAAAAATTGCCTTGAGGGCCGGCCTGTGGCTCACTCGGGAGAGTGCCGTGCTGATAACACCAAGGCCACGGGTTTGGATCCCATATAGGGATGGCCGGTTTGCTCACTGGCTGAGCGTGGTGCTGACAACACCAAGTCAAGGGTTAAGATCCCCTTACCGGTCATCTTTTTAAAAAAAAAAAAAAATTGCCTTGGTAAAGGCTGAAGGTATAGGAGAGCTCTTGAGAGTTGAGTGTCCAGCTGATGGATACCCTTCTCTCTTTAACACACTCCACTTATGCTGTTGCCCTCATTATTCCATGAAATTGCACGTCAAGATCACCAGCAACCTCCACAGTCCTAAATCCAGTAGTCAATGCCTAATTCTTATTTTACACTACGTCTCAGTAGCATTCAACACAAGTGATCACTCCCCTCTTGGAAACCCTTGTGTTCAGGGCTGTACACCATCCTGGTTTTCCTCCTGTCTCACTGGCCATTCTTTCAAGTCTCTTCTGCTAGCTTTATTATTATTTTTATTTTTAAATTTTTTTGGCAGCTGGCTGGTATGGGTGCTGGCTTTACTTTACTTCTTAACGCTGACCTCTTAGTGTTGGAAAGTTTCAGGCTGCCTTCTATTTTTACATTCAATTTCCCAGATGACCTCATCTGCCCATATAGCTTTAATTACTTTACATACCCTGGCAAATTAATATCCTCATATCTAGTCTCTTTTCTGAACTCCAAACTCTTATTCACCTGCTTAACTGACATCTTCACTTGGATATCTAGGAGGCATCTCAAAATTATTGCGTCCAAAACAGAACTCTTGATAACTTCCTCCTTCCAAACACTCCTGTTACAGCCTTTCTTGTCTTGATAATTGTTACCATTTCCCCAATTGCTCAGGCCAAAAACCAAAGTATCCTTCTTGATTCTTCTCTTTCCCTCAGACCCCATATCCAATCCATCAGCAAGCCTGAACTTAAAAAACATCTCTATTGCTGCCACCCTATCCATCTTGCCATCATTTCCTGCCAATGCAACAGCCTTTTAATAGGTCTTCCTGCTTCCTCAGACTGTAGTCCTTAAGAGTAACCTGGAGGAGCTTTTAAAATTTTAAATCAGATCATGTCCACAGACTCAAAACTTTCCAGAGGTTTTCCATTATACTCCCTACTATGGCCTAAAAGGTTCTCCATCATCTGGCTCCTCCTGTCTCTCTAACCCCCTCTCCCATTACTTTCCTCATTCGCTTCTGTACAGGCTTGCTAGCATTCCAGCTGTTCCTGGAACATGTCAAGCTTGCTCTTCTATCAGGGTCTTTGCACATACTGTTCCCTCTGCCTGGGTCACTCTTCTCCAGATCTTCCCAGGGCTCACTCTTTATATCCTTCCAGTCTTTATTAAATATCGATCACTCAAACAGAAACACCTTCCCTTACTACTCTAAAACATTCAGCTCACTCAACTACTTCTCACATTATAACTTGCTTAATTTTTCTTCATAGAACTTATACTACCTGCATAGCTTATGTAATACCTGCTTTCCCATACAAAAAATGTAGGCTTCACAAAGACAGGTACTTCTGTCTGTCTTCTGTGCTAAGTCCAGTGCCTAGAACACAGAGGTGCTCAATAGTTGAGTGAATGAATAACTGAGTTGTTTAAAATTTGGATCTATTTCCCTGTAGGACAATGATTAAATGTCCTTAGGTTAGATGCCAAGTAGCCAATTGAATATATCAGTAATTAAACTTTAAGATAAATAATACCAGCCTGGTGTCTGGCTTCTAGAACACTGGGATCATGCCACAAAAGAGAAAGATAAAAGGGAGACTCCTCCCCGCTTTTGAATGTACCTGGGTAAAGTTTACTGATAACCTAAAAAAAAAGAGAGAGAGAGAAAAATATCTCCAAACATATCGAGTTTATTGGGGAATAGAAAATAGGATTAAAATCTAGAATGTACACCATGGCAAGCCACAAGTGCATTCAGTGAGGGAAGGATAAGAGAAAGTTTTTATTGGCAAAAAGGGAGAGGTTCACACACGCTGCATGGAAACAGTTTATTGGTTTCAGAGGCTCCAAACCAGATTTCTCATCACTTCATTGATTGAGATGCTGTTACCTGGGCAAGTTTCTTTCAGAGAATCTTATCTGAATTACTGCAGTTCTAAAGAGTGTCTAATGCTAAAATTGTCACATAAATATGTACATACGTGCGAAGTAGGAGATGTGTGAAGAATGTGAAGAGATTTCTGCTGGATTTTAGAAAGTCCTTGGAAACAGTTTCTATCTCAGACAAGCAAGCACGAGCCTTCTTCATGTCTTTCCCAGCCCTATTTTGTCAGGGTCTGACAGAAGTGATTTCATCAACTTTCACAGTACAAAGAAGAGTTTTACCTCCTACTTGGTATTTAATCTCCTTTTAGTGCCTGCTTCCAGGGCTCCTCTGTTGCCCTAAACCTCCACCAAAGTTCCCAAATTGCCTCAGATAACCCGAGTGTGCAGCCATTTTTCCAAATTTCCTCCCTAGCAAATTTTCCCTTTCTTTAATCGATTATCTCAACTAGGGTGTTACGAAGGAGAGAAATTTATTGAACTATTATGATTTACAACAATGGGTGAACAAATCATTCAACCCTCCCAGGCACCTGTACGTATTTAAAAGAAAATGAGTAGTGAATTAATCAATCTCTAATTGGTAGAATTGGGACATCAGTACAGTGAAGTGAAAAAATAGAGTGGACAGAAGATACTTTTTGGGCTAGGAAAATAATCACCAAATAATGTGTTGCACACAGTAGGCACTGATAAATATTTGTTAAAAAAAAAGAGATTAAGTGAAAGCAATCATACCAATGCAATCTTGGTCTTCCCTTGGATCAGCTCCCCTAAATGGTTCTTTTTTCCCTCTAGGAGGCAAAAGCTGTTTCTCACAATTGCTCACTCAACATTAGAAAGGGGGACACAAAAAAGGTGGTGCTTAAGTGGGAAAAAGCAGAAAAGGGAATTACTCTACTTTTAAAGGTTGTATTTCATTTTAAAACAAGTTTTGAATTTTTTTTTAGAACAAATTTGATTATTTACTTACAGTATACTCTAGATGGCATTTAAGATGGTAAAACAATAATGTATTTTGGGGAAGAACTATTTGTTATTTAAAGCCTATGGATTTAAAGTTTCATTATAATTTATAACTTTCTAAAAGGTTGCCAGCTGGGGGGAAAAAAAGACTTCCCAGGTGGAGATATAAAAGGAAGATGGAAGGCAGGATAGGTCCTCAATCCATACTTGTAACCAGAAATCATCTGGAGCCCCTGTTAAACCACACTCTGGGCCTTAGTTTACAGATTTGTCCGATTAAGTCTAGAGTGAAACACAGTTGTAGTTTTAACAAGGGCTCCAGATGATTCTGATAGCAGTGGGTCTGCAGACAGCTCTAAAGGTTGAGAGATCCGGGCCAGAAAAGTAGTAACAACTAATTAAAGCCTTTACAACAGAAATAAAGTAGTAAGATAGATTCCAGCCATATTTACAAGATAGACTTAACAGGGCCTAGTGATTTGTTGGATATGAAAGATGAGGAAGAATCTACCAGCAAATGGGATAACAGTTCTGTCATTAAAAAGAGTCTATTAAGAATTCAAAAAGATCAGTTTTTTGCGTGTGCGTTTTAAAATGGGGGTTGAGAGGTAAGGAGCGGTCCTATTAGACAACTTCAACCTTGGTTAAAGTAAGTTTGAGTTGGTTATGGGAAGAGATGTCCAAAAGGCATTCACAAGTATAGCCTAGAGTTCAAAAATGACGACCAGGAAATGGAAACACGGATTAGGGATTCAATGGTATCTGAGTGGTAGCTGAAGCCTAGTTTAAAAAAAAAAAAAAAAGCCAAACGTTATTCGTTTGGATTTTGCGAACTGCAAATTTGCCGGGCCCCTTAGCCAGAACTGCATCAGCAGAGTGTTGGGGACGGAAAAGAGACTGCAGTGGACCTGCAAAATCCCCCTTGTCTGGTAGAGATCATCCGGAGCCCGACCCAAGCCTGAGCAAACGTCTAATCTCGAGAAACCGGATGGATATACACTTCCACCCCACAGCTCCGCGGTGCAGAGGCTTCCCATGGTGAGGCCCTAACTCCTGAATGGGAAAGGAGAGTACAGCCTAGAGACCGAAAGTTCCGAATCCCCCACCCAGTTTAAGGGAAGGAGGCGGCCAGGCCAACCATGATGCGTGTCAAACCGGGGACCCCTTATCTACGGAGTCCGCGAATCTTTCCGCCCTCCCGGGGCCCTCAGCAGTCCAATCCACTCACTTCTCGGAGGGTCCGGCCTAGCATGGTCCTCGTGCTCAGCCTGCCACCACAGGGGTCAGGTGACAAGGTAGAAAAAAATAGGTCAAGGGCCGCCAGCAGTATTACAAGGGCGCAGCCATCTTTGATCATCAGTGAACCCTTCAGCACCGAGCACTTGGATTGGTCGAACTGCAGCCGAGGAAATGATCTTTGCACCCGATTGGCTGGCGCCGCAAAGCCACCCTTGGCGGCTAAGGAGAGAGGGCAGGCAAGGAGACTCCGGGCCAGGGTCGCGGCGGGAATTTCCAAGAATTGGATTTTCGATGGCGTCGGGATCGCTAGCGGTGTCTGCTTTTCCCATCGAGGGTTCCCAGAACAGGACAAGGATTTAGGGGGTTGCACACCTTGGTTTTTTTGTTTGTTCGTTTTTTAAGGGGGAGGAAGGGGTAAGGGAGGGAGCTGAATGGATAGAATACTGACTGGGACATTAACTGGAGCATTTTAGATGCGAAGAGCAGAAAGACAGTTTCATATTCTTCTTTCTTCAGTTGCTGCATTAGGTTAACTTCATTTTCGAATGCTCAATTTTGAAACTAGCCAGTGTGTGTGGCAGGATTTTACTGAACTTGGGGGTGAGAATTTGATCCAATCCCGGTGCATTTTAATTGGGTCACGCGATTCAACCACAGTTACACGATGGAATTTCTGAAGACTTGTGTACTTAGAAAAAATGCATGTACCGCGGTTTGCTTCTGGAGAAACAAAGTTGTACAAAAGCCTTCAATCAGAAAGATTAGTACTACCTCTCCAAGGAGCACTGTTATGCCCGCTTGGGTGATAGATAAATACGGGAACAATGAAGTGCTTCGATTCACTCAGAACATGATGCTACCTATCATACACTATCCAAATGAAGTCATTATCAAAGTCCATGCTGCGAGTGTAAATCCTATAGATGTTAATATGAGAAGTAAGTTTTCAAAAGACGTTCTTGGTTACTTTTTTTAAAATCAGAATTTAATCAGGCACACACTTTAAAAACATCAATTGTTATTTGACTACAGTTCTTTGATTAACACAAAGGAATCATTTGGGTTTTTGACAATACTTATTCAAGTATTATTTCCAAAATCTTTGAAATTGTAATGGCCAGGGTATACTTTTACAAAATGTAAGTTTGATTGTTTCCATGCTTCCTCAAAATGAAAATTGGGACATAAGAGTTGTGTCCACAGTTGACTTTATGGTGTACTGTTCTGGGGACTTTGTGATATTCTGAAATTACAGGTTTTAAAGGTGTGGCTATGTTTCCATATCAGTTCAGAATTTGTTTTTTTTTTTTTTTTTTTTTTGATAGTGGATGGCCAAAGGATCTGAACCCTTGACCTTGGTGTTATAACAATTGCATTTTTATAATAATTCCTGTCCTCTTTGCTCTCCCCTTACTCACAGCTTCCGTTATTGGTCCAATAGACAAAGCAACAGAGCAGGACTTCAGGATATAGGCCCAGTACTTTCCTCATTTCTGCTATTGCATTCTGCCCTCAGCAGTTAAAATACACTTTCCTGTAACTCTCCATCCTAAATGGAAATTATGTTATCGTCTTAATTTCTGCTACAGGATATTGACCAAGCTTGGAGAGCATTATATTCCTTAAATATATACTGTGCAATTATTGTACTGAAAAGATTATTAGGATTTGTGAATTACTTTAACTTTGTAAAATAATGACAAAAATATCATCAGTCTTGCTTATGGGAACTCATCCGTGTTTTATGAAGAAATTGAAAAACATCTTTTGGTATGATTATCCTTAGTGTTAGTCACAGGTCAGTTAACTTCAATGTTTTGAGTAAGCTGCCATATGCAGTTTAACCATGGGTCAGTGTTTTGAAGAGCTTTTGTATAGACCTACAGATATATTGAATAGATTGCCTCAGTAACAATTCTCATATATGACCTGTGCATGATGAATTTAATTTCTTTGTTCATATACTTTCTTTTCCTTTCTTCTCTTTTTTTTCCCCAAGAGTGGTATGATAGATTAGGGTAGCAATTCTCAAATTTTTTGGTTTCAAAACCTCTTCACATTCTTAAAAATTATTGGGCTTTTGTTTATATGTCTGTATCTATCAATATTTGCTTTATTAGAAATTAGAACAAATTATTTACAGTACAGTAAACTTTTGTGTTACATTACAAAGTTAAATCAGAATAAAAATATAAAGTGACATAAAAATAATAACTAAAAGGTATATGCGAAGCACTGAAACAGGTGGGAGTTGCTAGAGCCTCAGAATCTACCTTCAAAGAGCTTACAATGAAAAATAACTATTTTCCAAAATAAGTAAAAACATTTAGTGAGAACACTAGTATTGTTTTACACTTTTGCATATCTCTTTGCTGCTTGGTTTAATAGGACAACTGGATTTTCATATTTACGTCTATAGCCAGTCTGTTGCAATATTATATGATATCTGAAGTAATGAAGAAAAGCCAGCCCCACATAGATAGAATGTTGGAAAACAAAGGGCCTCTTAGACTCCTTGAAAAGATCTTGGGACATACCAACTTTGGAGAACTTCTGTATTGGGGAAATAAAGTCCAAAATTAGGTCCTTTGACTAATTTTGAATGCTGTTATTTCTAAGTTAGTATATGTAGACCTGTGCCATTCAGTATAGTAGCCACTAGCATTTGGCTATTGAGCAGTTGAAATGTGGCTAGTCAGTGTAAAATATACACTAGATTTCAAAGACTTAGTAAGAAAAAAAAAGTAAAATGTCTTGCTTAAGAATTTTGTTTTCAGCCTTGTAAACACCAAGGTCACAGGTTTGGATCCCCATACTATTTTGGGTGTATTAAGTAAAATATTACTACTATTAATTTCACTTTTTTTTTTTTTTTTTACCTTTTTAGTGACTTCTAGAAAATTTTAAATTACATGTGTCGCTTGAATTATATTTCTTTTGGACAGAACCTATCTAGACAATGTGATGGGATAACTACTATAGGTTGAACATCCCTAATCTGAAATCCAAAATCTGGAACTTTTCAAGTGCGGGCCTGATGCGACAGATGGAAAATTCCACACCTGACCTCATGTGTTGGGGTCATGTGTTTCATGAACAAAGTAATTTAAAATATTGTATAAAATTAACTTCAGATGATGTGTATAAGGTGTATATGAAACATAAGTAGATTTAGTGTTTATACTTGGGTCCCATTTCCAAAATATCTCATTATGTATATGCAAATATTCTAAAATCTGAAAAACTCTGAAACACTTCCTGTCCCAACTATTTTGGATAAATGATGTTTACTTGACCAGTGCACATTTCTTTGGGGGAAGAGGTTTGGGGAAAGAATTTGTGGCTTGAAAGCTCTGTTAAGAATGAATTGAAATGAACTTGCTATGGTGCAATTTGTATTCTTTTTGTTTGTTTTGAAGTAATAATTGCTACTACTAGTTGAGTATGTTGTTTTACTATATTCTTTTTATGTTGTGCTTGAAGATAATTTAGTTTTTACAAGATATGTCTTTAAGTGGTAGGTTTTACCCAGTGGTCACTTTTCTCATCTCCTTTGGTTATAAGCTGTTTGAAGGTGGATCCCATGCTTTCTCAGCCTGTCTGAGTGCTTCACATATGTAGTTGTCATTCAGTCATTATTGTTAATGCCATTTTATATTTTCATTTTGACTTGAGTTTGCAAACTTAAATTAACAGTATTTTATCCATGAGTAATTTTTATGTTTTGTCTTCATTTTGGTGTGTTAACTTTTCATTTCTTCAAATACATATGAATAATTCGTGTTGTGTACATTTTCATTTCAGTAGAATGGCTGCCTCTGGACTTTTCTTGACTGCTATTAATCATATAATAGTATAACACATTTTACTTTTATGTAGTACTTTTGAGAGTCTGTGTTTTTTATGACTTGGTAATATTATTTGCAAGTTATCTTCTTTTTTTCCTGCCCACGGTTTCTTTTTGTGAATGTGTTATTGTTATTACAGAAGATATCTGAAATGATAGCTTGGGGAAATAAAATAATGAGTAGAAGATTGTAAATTGTAGAAAGCAGTTATTTCCCTTGGCAAGGAAGTAAGAGACATGTCTACTTTATTTGATAGATGAAGGCTAGCTTGTTTTTTATAGATGGCCACTACTGTTGGACATAAGGTAATAAATCATAGAAATGGCTAAAGAAATGAGTAATTTTAAAAACAGAAAAAAAAAAAATCCCACAGCCAACAGCATCATACTAACAAAGCTTGGTTTCTTTAGATGGGATTAAAGTCTTCGAAACTGATGACAGATTTAGGATTTTCCAAATCAGCTCAACTCTCTGAACAAGTCAAAGTGGCCCTCTGTCAATGGGGTGAAACTCTTAATGGCCCCATTCATTTGTGTCACCAAACAGGTTCTCAATGACTAACTACCAGCTAGCTGCATTCTGGATTTGGGGCTGCTTCAGATAGTACCAGTGAGCCAGGGCTATTTAGTTGATGCATGAGCATATCAGAGTGACCAAGAAAACTGTTTATAAACAGCCTTGAGCTGTGTACCTCAAAGAGGACTCTATACCCCTAAGAGGACTGAAACCTTTTTGTAGCTCTGAAACAGTAGCTAAAATTTGACATGGCTGAATGCCCACTTCTGTTGCTCAAACCATGTAGGGGTTTCATTGAATAATTGTTTAATTATGTTTTAGCAGTAGAAAAGGAATGTGAGACAGGAAAAGTTAGGCATGTGACTTATGAGCATTACATGTGAAGTTGTTTTTTTCCCCCTGACAGAGCGCAGTCCTAACTAGCCAGAGGGCAGATGTGTAATGTTGGCATAATGGACATTGGCTTAGGTTTTCTGGGACTATCCCAACTTTTAAACACTTTCTCCCACATGTCTTGATTTTTTTTTTATTAGAAAAACAACTTCTGTAAGCTACCCACCTGTCCATCTCTCTCCTGCACCCTTTGCCTTTGCTCCTGCTGTGTAGACTAACTGTCATTGCTGTCATCTAAGGCCAGCTCTCCCTTGTGTTCTTCATCCCCTCCCCTCTTACCTGCTCTTGGGTGTTATTCCAGCAATTCTTTCCTCATCATCAGTTTTTTCCTTTCTACTGGATCATTCCCATTAGCATACAAATTTGCTGTTATTTCTCCTCTCTTAAGAAGAAAAAAAAGGCCACTCAAAAATCTGCATCTCGGTTGCCCCCTCCAGGTAGTGCTCCATTTCTCCGCTCCCCTTTGTAACAAAACTCTTTGAAAGAGTTGAATTTTCTCAGTGTCCCCAATTCCTCACTTCCCATTTTCTCTCAGGTGCAGCATGCCATAGCAACTGCACCTTTCAGAGTGACCAGAGGTCTCTGTGTTGTTAGATCCAGTTTTGTTTGTTTTTTAAAAGCCTCTTAGCAGCTTTTGGCCTTATTTGAATACCTATCTTCCCTGTCAGCAGCGTTTGACTTCTTTTAATGACCTTCTTTAGCTGGCTTTCAGGACACCTCTTACTTCACAGGGCAGGCCTTCTCAGGATCCTTTGCTGGTTTCTCCTCATCCTCTAGATCTAGCATTGTACTGCACCCATCCACCCACCCCTGGGAGTGGGCGAGGAGACTATAGAGTGGTTCAGTGATTCTGGAGTGTGCATTGTTAGGTAGGGAGTGCTACATGATACTGGAGAGGTAAGCAGGGTGCCTATCTTAGAGAACCTCATGTAGTAGAAATGTCCTCCTCAGGAGAACGTCAAGCAGAAGAGAGAAAAACAGATACTTTTGTGTCTTAGAAAAGTCATTTTATATGTTGAAGCTATATAATAAACTACTTTGGATTATTTTAGATAGAGTAGCCAATTTGAACAAAAAAATTATGATTAGAAGAATGTTTTCAGTTTTATTTAGCTGATATTTATGTAAATATTCTTAAAAATAGAAGAATATATATAATAAATATATAATAATAAATTAACCTGATTTCACATGTCAGAACAGATGCAGCCAAGTGGCTCTTTTCCACTCAGGAATCTATGCATTTATTCCAAGGACGATGTTCTAGAAATATTTTTAGGAGGTAGAGACCATTACTCATTGACCAGTGTGTCAAATACTTTATATCCATACCTTATTTATTGTTTATTAACGTCAAACAGCTTTAACATTCATCTTCACCAGACTTGGCACTTATCAACCTTGTTGTTTAAAAAGCACATGAATGAATAAATTAGTATATAAACCATCTTCAAAGAAAAAGTAAAACTGTATAAAAGAAAGTACTGAAACTGTATAAAAGCGCATTTTAAAATTGGAATTTCAGTAACATTTTCAGCAATAGTGGCTTTAGTTTAATGAGTGATTATGACTTTCCAGGTAATTTCCTTTGAAAGGAACAACATCCTTTTTATGCTTTCCTGTGTGATGGCAAAAAAAGTGATAAGATTGATTACTTTACATTTTATGTCTTGAGGATTTAGAATTGTACCTCGCCTATAATCCTGTAGTAGTTTTAAAATTATCTCATTCTTATTTTTGGAGGAAACAGATTAATTGTATTTTATAGGTGGTTATGGAGCTACGGCTTTAAATATGAAGCGTGATCCTTTACATATTAAAACCAAAGGTGAAGAATTTCCTCTGACTCTGGGCCGGGATGTCTCTGGCGTGGTGATGGAGTGTGGGCTGGATGTGAAGTACTTCAAGCCTGGAGATGAGGTGAGAGGAAACATCGATATTCCTTTTCTAAATGTGCAAATTTCATTCTGTTTTTTGAAGTACACATATTCTGTACTGTTGACCTTTTTTCTTCTTTTCAGTAAATGTACTGAGCTTTGACTGAACCTTCATTTTCTTGGTTCTGTTACATTTTTTACAAACATTTCCAAAATAGCTTGACTGTATTTGAGTTTTGTAAACTTAATGCTTAAGAATTACAAGACTTTAAAATATGTAGGATTGGGACTTTTTTTTTCTTGAAAGAGTCTTTAAGTGACAATTTCTACCTTATGGATTAGATGACTTTACAATAATTAAAGTTTGGTGTAATCACCTGTCACTTGTCATTTTGAACATTTGTGTCACAGAATTACAGTGAGCTCATAATAATAGCTAACACTGTTCTAGTTGCTTTCCATGGAATAACTCATTTAATTCCTGTGAAGTAGGTACAGTTAGGCCCAGTTTACAGATTAGGAAGCCAGGCTATAAAGAGGCCTCACAGCTAATAAGTGGTAGAGCCAGGATTCAAAACCCAGAGACCTTGGTCTTATTGGAACTCTAAATAGTCAGTAAATGCACCAGGAAATACTGGCATCACTCCAGTGTGGTTTGTCTTGATAAATCCAGAATCATACTAAGTAATTTATATCATGTGAAAGTAACTCTTTTGCTTGGTGTATTGCTGACTTGTGCTTTTTTTCCTCAGGGCAGGGTATATATTAGGGAACATCCTCATACTTAGCTTTGGTTAGAAAATATCTGTTTCTAATGAAGTTGTGTTTCTGTGTGTGTTTCAGGTCTGGGCTGCAGTTCCTCCTTGGAAACAAGGCACTTTCTCAGAGTTTGTTGTAGTCAGTGGGAATGAGGTAACTCACCAACTCTGCTGAAATGCTATTAGAAAGTATAAACAGAGACTGACAAATATCTCTGAAATAATTGGTCATTTTTCAGATCAGGTTTATGTTTTATGGGCAGTTTTGAAAGAGCTAAGATAGAGAACAGGAATTTTTGAAAGATTAAAAAGTATTTGGTGTCATTTAATAACACTGCCTGCCAAAGTGATTATCTTTGTCTCATGGAGCAAGGATTTGGAATGAGTTCTAGAACCCTGCTGTGTTACTTGGTTTTACCCAGTATAAATAGTTGAAACCAAATATACCCAGTGGAGAGTACAGATTAATCATAGCAGAGGCATGGGAGTATCAAGCTGTTTTGAATAACTTTAAAAGCAAGAGTCTAATCAAATATAGTCAGGAGACCTGACAATTTGAATAGAGAGAAAGGGGTTACTACTGAGGAAATTGGCTACAGAAGGGAGGGCAGGAAGAGAAAAAGGGACATTACTGAGAGTAGAAAAAGCCTAGAGAGATTGCTTTCCAGAAAGTGGGAGTAAAGGAAACCGTTGATCTCAAACGAATTAAAATGTGTTTATGAGGGTTCAAGGTTTATTTGGATTTATTACTGAGTATAGTCAGGACTCATGGGATTATTGAGTGTGGTCTTTTTATAAAGACCAGTTTTTATAAAGATTCAGTAATGTTTGTAGGCTACGTTTTCAGATAGAGCTACTTCACTGTTTATAAAAACACAGCCTACAAACGTTACTGAATCTCTGTGAAGCAGGTAGAACAATTGGGAGAATATTCCTTAGAGATAATCTTGGAGTAGAATATGCAATAAACACTGAAACTGGAAGAATTTTATAGATTATGATAATAGTTGGATTCCTATGAAGGTAAATGTACTTAACTGTATTTATAGGTTTGTAAGTCATTTCATATTTTTGACTGTTCTCTTCAAATCTAGGTCTCTCACAAGCCCAAATCACTCACTCATACCCAAGCTGCCTCTTTGCCGTATGTGGCTCTCACAGCCTGGTCTGCCATAAACAAGGTTGGTGGCCTGAATGACAAGAATTGCACAGGAAAACGGTGAGTGTATCCATGGTGGCATCTACACCTCTCTTCTTTCCTTCTGTAAGTTCTTTGCAGTATATTTGTCAGAAGCATTGAAATTAGAATCACTTATATGAGCAGAGTTATTCTAACATTTGAAACAATTTCCAAAGAACTCTATTTGTGTCAGTTTGGACTTTTTTAACCTTATTCTGTTAATGCTCAGCCCAATTAAATGCGAATTTTTAAACTGAGATGGTAGATGGGCTTTAGGAGTCTGAACCTTCCAAAATAACATAGGGCTGGCTGATTATTCAACTCAGTTGGTTAGAGCTTGGTGCTGATAACACCAGCGTCCAGGCTTTGATTCCTGTACTGGCCAGCTGCTAAAAGTAAAATAAAATAATGTACAATTTTGTATGTGAATCTCTGGGAAGAAGATCCATAGCTTTTATCAAATTCCTAAAAAGGTTAAGAATCACCCATAAAATTTCTGAAGAATGATGTGAAGGTTTTTTTTTTCCTACTGTGTTACCAAGAATTGCTCCCACACTTGCATATTTTATGAAAACCAGATATAAAGCGACTGCAAAACACTACTGAATATTCTTGAGTTCTTTTAGTGCAGTGCTTGATATCCTTTAGGTCAATTCTGGTTCTCTAGTGCCTTGAATGTGCTTGTTTGAGTTAGCAACAACACAATGACCAGAAATGTGACATGTGCTTGAGTTCATACCCAGATACTGCTACTTTCTAGCCGGATGACCCAGTCAGTCACTTTCTCCTGTGAGTTTGTTTTAAGGGCTAAATGAGATACCCATAAAACTGGTGGCACAGGTCATGGCACGTGGGAGGCACTCAGTAAACTGGCTACCGTTATTAGCAAGGAGACTATAATGTTCTTTGTATTTTAGAAAGTTGACATCATAGGGAAGACTGATTTTGATTTTTGGTGAGACAACTGGGTTCTAAGAACCATTTAATGGTTGTACAGAAGGAGAGAGCTATAGGTCAAATTATAATAAATTTAAATAACAGGCTTTTTATTGCTAAGGATTGTGCAAGTAAAATAAAGTCTGTGTCATTCTATACTCCTATTTTGAAACATTACATTTTTCATTTAATGTGTTGGGTGATAGAGCATTGAATTGAAAGAATAGTTTAATCACTATATTTCTGAAAGTACTGTCGTTTAATAGCTGTTTTTCTGAAATCATTGTGAGGACTATTCATCTAATCAGGTGCTACCCTTTATCTTAGAATTCAAGGCAAATATTTATTCTAAAGGTCAACCCTGTTTATTTTTTAAGCTTTTGTGGCTTATCTTTCCTGAAGTTGCCATTTGGGTCAAGCAGTTTGTTTAAATTAAATTAGTTTGACCACAGAGACATTTCTAATGGTTTGTCTTAGTGAATAACCTTGCAAAAATCCTATTCAAGATTTTTAGACCTTTATTATTATTGTAGGCTCTGCAACAACATTGCTGTTTTATTGTATTGTTTGGGGGTTTTTTTTGGTCCTTTAAAAACATTAGATTTTCCATGCCTGCATGACTATATGTTCAATACGGTTAGAGAACTCTCATTCCTATTGCTGGTTTGGGGCTCTTTTTTAGTACCCTGTAGAAACGATTTAGAGAGAGAGAGAGAGATCTAGCTGTCTCATATACGTAGGTGTGAGTCCTCAGTTTATTGTTGGCTTTGTGGGTAATTCTTTGTTGTTCTGTTATCTTCTGTTTAAGCAGTAATGGCCTGGAGATGGGAAATTGGAGCCCTGTTTCCTACTCTCCACTCTCCCATTAACCAGGTGACCACATGCTATTTATGGTCTCTTTGCATTTTCCTTTGATTTACTGTAGGGCAGTGTAGGTTGTAAGAAGAGCTTTGAGAACTGGAAAAGTTTTATACCTTATAAGGCGATTATATATTATATTGTATTGAGTCTGTTCATTGATTTAGCCACATGTCAACCAAAGTAGAATGAAGTCCTTTGTAAAGAGCCTTAGTAATTCACATCATTGATTTCTGCTACATTCCTATATACGTAGTGACTTGTAGGATACATATGTCCTGATCCACAGTTGAGAGCTTGGTGTCTTAGTCCATTCAAGCTGTTATAACAAAATATCATGAGCTGGTGGTTAATAAACAACAGAAATTTATTTCTCACAGTTCTGGAAACTGGGAAGTCTGAGATCAAGATGCCGGCAGATCCCTGTCTGGTTAGGGCCAACTTTCTGGTTCGTAGACAGCACTTTCTCAGTTCTCCTTATATGCTGTAAGGGGTGAGGATCTCTCCAGGGTGTCTTTTATAAGGCACTAATCCTATTCATGAGGACTGTGCTCACATGACCTAATGACCTCCCAAGGGCCCCACCTTCTAATACCATTACGTTGGGGGCTAGGATTTCAGCATATGAAGTGTGGGGGACACAAACATTCAAGCTATAGCACTTGGCACTTGGTGTTCTCAGAAATTTTAGTTTACTGAAATTAGTCTACTGAAATTACTACACATGGATTTTAATAATGGCCTACCTCTCCAGCCACTTATTTGTGAGAATCACATGAGAGATGTGAGCACCTTAATATGCTGTAAAAATACTTCTAATGTAAACATTGCATAATGGGATTTTATTATACTTAAACTCAGAGGTTCCAGTGTTCAAAAAATTGATTTTTCAATTTGACTGTTCATTGTGATCGATGGAGCACATTTTGGCTTCTCTAGGCAATAATTAATCTTTTTCTGTTAGCTATTGGCATTGAGGCATGCTTTAGTCTACACAAAGCAGGTCAGTGTTTGTTATCAAGGACTAACAGTCTGTTTTTTCTAACCAGTTAATTAAAAAAAAAAAAAAAGACAAAAACACCCATTAGCACCTTGGAATATTTTATAGGATTTCTTTATAACAGCTTTTCTGAAACTAAGACAAAGCTTTCTAAGGGTTCAATGGTGTTTGTCTTTTCCTTTTTTTTATATAATTATATTTTTGCAACAACTGAATATCGGTGAACTGAGGGGATAATTTAATCTTGATGTCATATGATATTGTCATTTTTGTCCACACTTTGGCATCACTAGAACACGTCACTTGAAATTACTTGTTATTAGCCAATCTGTAGTTTCTTCATGATTTATTCAGTAGGAACACAGAGATAATTTAGGCTCTCAAAATGAGTAGAAATTTTTTAAAAAGTTTTTCACCTGATATTTTTTGAATATGCTATTATCTGATAGTTTTATTTATTAGTAGTGTCATGGGTGCACTTGAATATTCTCATGCTGTGCCTGAAATCCATCTCTTGCTGGGAAAGTTGTACTTCACTCTGTTAGGGAAATATTAAAGTGTTAGAAATTTAACTATTCCTCCTCCACAAAATAAATTTCACTTTTAAATTGTGTACATTTAAAACTCAATGCAGAGAATTTAGGAATACTTTTCTCTGTTTCTTTTTTGAGATTAGGCTTTATGACAGTAAAATTTTATCATATAGGTGTAAATTAGGTATCTGATTAATTCTGTTTATAAACTCAAAAACATTGGATTTACCCCCCACCTTTGTGCTTACATCGAACTTAAAATGACCGCCTGGTTATTATAGCAGCTTCTTTCTTTCAAATGCTTTATAATGCCTGTTCTTCACCCCACTACCCACCTGTTTCTCCCCATTCTCCACTCCTGCCACTCCCGTGGACTTTGGGTTTTCGTTTGCCACCCATTGGTGGTCGAGTGAGAGGGGAAGGGGGAATAAGAAAAAAATCCCTGCCATTTATTTGCAGGAAGAAATTGTGGGGTTGGGGGAGAAGAGGGGAGGAGGATGGAGGCTCTGGCCTGGCCAGTGTTATGCAAATGAGTCTTGCTGGGCTCCCAGGCCTACTTCCAGGGAACCCCGGGAGGGCTCAGTTAAGGTAAGGGTAAAAACCTCACTCTTGGCAATTTGTATTTTACAGATTAGCTTTCTAAGTGACTGCAGTAGCTATCTTGGGAGGTTTAGAGGTCCTTTACTCTTCGAGGCACAGTAATCTAGCTTTAGCCTTGCCATTCAATTGCAGCTGCCCTCACCAGGGTCATAACTGGCTAAGTTGCCAAGTCCATGGCCCTTTTCAGTTCCTATTTTACTTGACCTCTCTGCAGTATCTGGCACTGTTGACCATTTCTTTAATACTCACCTTTTCTTCTGGTTCAGGGACACTAGACTCCTTTAGTTTTCTCCTTGCCTTTTTGACCGCTTCTTGTCATTTTTTTTTTTTTTTTAAAGCGCCACCCCCCCTCCTCCAGTCCTTTCAATGTGCTATTTTCCCAGTGTTCCACTCCATCGTTCCTCTCTGTCTCCCAGGGTTATCTCATCTATTCCCCACTTCTATTTATATTTTGGTAACTTGCAGATCTGTATTTCTAACCCTAGTCTCTCTCCTGAGTTCCAGTTAGATGTCCCTTTTTGTGTCTCAGACTCAACTGTGCACGACAAGACTTGCTGACTACTACCCTGACTCTTCGTCTATATTCCTAATGTCAGTTAATTGTGATTTACCTTAAGCCAAAACTTGATATTGTTCCTAAACCCTGCTCCCTCCCCTCCCACTGCAGAGCTCATTATTGTTCATGTCATGTACAATTTAGGATTGTTGTCAAATTTGGAACAATGTCTTCAAAGTTTCTTTTATATATGAACTGTAGGATTTCAAGGCATTTCAAATTTTCTTGTGTAGTGAATAAACCTAAAATACTATTGTATTTTAATTGACAATCCTTATTAACAAGTTTGTTAATGTCTTCTCTATAGTGATGTATTGTAAGTTTTTGTGTCTTTTAATTGAAAGATTTTTCCACAGACTAGCTTTTGGTTCCATACATCTCAAATCTTGTTTAACCTTGTTTCTCCTTCACTGCTCACATAAGCCAGGGCTGGGCACAGTGGTACTCAGTCTTATCTTAATAAAATGTCACGATGCTTAGGTGAGTTGACTTAGTGAAAGGTAGGACCATTCCCGAAGGCATTCTTAACCCAGGACAGCTAGTGATAACTTAACTCTTGGCAGAAGTGATTATGAACCACATCAGTATTTCCTACTAAACCCAAAGCAAATGTGTTTCCAAATCAACTTCCCTTTAACCAAATTTAATATCACCTGACATGAGGGGAACCATGAGGGAGGGAATGTAGGAGTGGAAAGAGACAGCAATCATAACTGATTGTGATTAGCGTATCTCACTTTTGCAAATTTTACAGAAACATGTCCATGCAAATATATTGCTAGAGCTTCTCTCAGGGCCTTGCAAATGTGCAGGGCCCCAAGCTTTGGCTTTACTGGCTCCATGGTAAATCCTTCTCTGACCATGCTACTTTCTCTCTCTCATCCACCTTGTTGCCACCCATCACAAACATTCCTTCCCTTCCTCTGATGCTGTGCAAGATTGAAGGAACCAGTGATTTGGGACAGTTTTCACTGTCTATCCCATTGGGGGAGATACATTCCCAGAACCCTGGGCTGAAATTCTAAATACATTTCAGATAACAGAACCATTGTTATCCTGTGTATGAAGTTCCTGGCTTATTATAGGTTAACTAAACCTTTATAAACTGCTACTCTGGGCACTTTGCCAAAGTGTATTATAAATAGCTTTGTTTTCATGGGAAAATGTGTTTAAAGTTCCAAACAGCTAATTCACACATGAACTCTTCCGTAAATTGGGGAATGTCTACATGAATTACAGAGGGTTAGAGGAGAACACACAAATCCAGGCAATCTCGGTCACATTTGGTTGATTTGTTTTGTAGCTCTCTTATCCCAAATGTACAGATTAAGTTTCTCACTTGCTTTAAGGAATATACTTAGCATATTATGATATGCTTTGCTATCTTTCACTGACTTTTTCCCCCCCAGATTTAAAAGTAGTGTTTGAAGCTGAAAAATGAGATACATTTATAGCATCACCCTCATTTTTTAAGGATTATTTGTTTCTACTGATGGAAGATTTAGCCACACTTAAGTCATCTTTGTTTCTAGCCATTAGAATTTAAAAGATGACTCTCTAATCTTGTGATGTGGCATTTTTTCCCCCCACAAGTATTTGGTTTGGGGGAATCATGAATGTCATATACTTCTGTGTTAGAAAGGTGAAGAAACAAAATGTAAGTTTAAATTAGATTGAAAGTGCCACATATTTTTCGTTTGACTCCTAGAGTACACCTCTGTGATCATCATTTCATAGGTGATGAATTGGAAGCCTAAGGATTCCATTAGTGAGAGAGTTGAGACTAGAACCCAGGTCTCTAGGTATTCAGCCCCATGTTCAAAGATTTCTGTGGCTAAGCTAGAATATAGAAACTTGAAAGATGGTTCCATACTTCCGGGTCTCCTGCTGTTTTATAGTGTGTTTCATATATTTTTATTTGTAAGGCAGTTAAGGTGTTGATGCCTTGCCTCATAAGATCATAATACTGAAAACTGATTGTAGAGGACATAGGTATCCAAATGCTAAATAAAAAGTGATTCAGCATGGAAAAGAAGCCAACATTGCTTTAACTTAATGTATGTTTAGGGGGAATTCAGAGATTAGACAAATGACAGAGCAAGTTAGATTTTAGGGTTTAAGAATGCATAAGCAGCATTTTTGTATTTTCTCCATATTTTCTATATCTGCCAGTAGTGTAATCCCCACTGACTTCAAAAGAAGCTCTATATGTGGGCCTAAGAAGTAAGAGCTTCCACTGCTCACTTGACTATCCTTAAAAGAAAAAAGAAAGAAAGAAAGAAATACTACATGTTCTCACTTATTTGTGGGAGCTAAAACTAAATATGTAAATAAATAAATATACAAACAAACAAATGGGGGTGGAGAGAAGACACAACAATTCCTTGAACTGGTTAAGACAAGTGAACAGATATGATGTTGATGGGGGGAGGGGGAAGTTGGAGGGGGGAAAGGAAGAATTGGTAAAGGGACATGAAAATCAACTACATTGTATATTGATAAATTAAAATAAAAACATAAATAAAGTAAAATATAAAGAGACATGTCATTAAAAATCTTGCTAATTTTGAATTGTGCTTTTTGCAGGTAGCGTATTTCCTGGGCACTTTATATAAACCAACAGACAATACAATACACCTTTCTTCACCATAACAAATAGGCTTCTACTTCAATGTGGTTTGAATATGTAGGGTGGCCATTATAGCAAGCTAGGTAAAAAGTATTCCCATGGTATAGTACTCAAGTGAGGGCTGTCAGGAAGTAAGCAACAGCAGCATTTTCCCTTTGCACTAAAGTGCTTTGAAGAGTACAAGAATTAGTTCAGCCACACGACTTCAACCCTTAGAGGATCAACCGACTTGCTGGTGCCTTAAAATTTTATTCTGCCCGCTGTCCTTTTGAGGACTTTCTTTGTTTGAAGAAAAATATGGTCCCTAGTTGAACCTGCACAAAGAATGGAGTTTGCGGTATCAGAGAATAATGTGCCCCCAGGGCATCTTTACAAGCTAACAGCACTTCCTTGGGCCTGCTCCTTGCCTGTGTTGTACTTTGGGGGCGCCATCAGGTGGCCACGTCAGGAATTGAAGCTGCTGTTGCTGAACCACACCCTCTTCTGCCAAACCCTGCTATGAAACACATTTTTGCTTTTTTGAGGGAATAAGGTTTCATTGGATCAAGGATTAAGGAGGGAAGAGGAACTAACAAAAATGAGGTCAGTTGGGTCTGGCAATTGGTCCTTACGCAGCCATTATGTTTAATAACCAGCATTCACAGGGAGAAAATTAGAATTAATTTCAAGCTTTTCTTTACTGGAAGAAACTTTAATGCAGTCCTTCAAAGAGCCAGGTGATCGCCTCACTTGAGGTAGTAGCAATTGTTACCTTGATTGTAGGATATAATGCTGACTGGATGATTTTTTAAGTCAAGAAACATTGGTCAGGCATCTGCTACATTCAGGGTAGTATGGCTAGTGCATGGTATGACATGAGGTCTCTGTTCAGGAGTGCTTGCAGAATAGCTTGGGAAGCAGGAAGCATGTAAGTTAACAGTGTGACAAATGCCAAGTATGTTGCACAGATATCAGGTTCTGGGCTATGTCAAGGGTATTGTGGAGGAAAACAGGACATGGGCCTTCAAGGGAAGGGAGACCTTAGCAGGTAGTCAGGGCATTCTAGAGCCTAGAGGAATGGGCCAGTGTGCACAGGGTTTGGGGGGAAGTGCGAGGAGACTGGAGTCTCTTGAATAGGATAGTTCTGTTTAGGGAGTAGTGAGAGGAAAAGTTAGAGAGTTGAAATGATTAGATTGTGAAGAACTTAAATGAGAGTTTGACTAGCTACCTTTCTATAAGAATGGGCAAAAGTAAGGGTAAAATATTTCATGGGCGAATTAATTTGGGGATGTATCTATCTGTGAGGTGGTTTTAATGCTTTTTCCCCCCATTTAGGAATTGTAAAGCTATAAAAAATATGAATTGGAGGGTTTTGGAGGAGTGGATCTTTAAAGTTTCATCTGTTCTTCACAATTTATAATTCTGTGAAACTAAAAGTTACTCTTCTAGAAAGAACATAATTTGCAAGGGGACTTGTTTTATTTACATTTAATGATATTAATTTAAAAGGGAACCACTGGCTCAGAAATTTTAGTAGTAACTTTTAAAGTATAAAGGGTAAAACCCAGCCTTTTGTGATTTGGATAAGAGAAAAAAAAAATGAAATGAAACTAGGGTTAAGATTGTAGAAAGAATACATGTTCCAAGATCCAAGTAGTTGCTAGAAATAGGTGGCAAAATTATCTGCACTTTCTAGCACCAAAGTGCAGTTCAGTACAATTTTGGGGGGACCCGAAACCATGCAGTCCAAGTAGGCAATTTCCTGAAGTTCTTGCTTAATTCAAAAATGAAATGTAAGAGTAAATAAAGCAGTGATTCGTGACCGCTGATTCTCTTTTGGATCATACCCTTCTTTGGGAAATGGGTGATAGATCTAGATCCCACTCCTTGCCAATGCACATATACATGATCACACCACATTTTGCATGTTATTTTAGGAAATTCACATTTTGCATGTTATTTTAGGAAATTCACATTTTCAGAGGGTTCGTAATCCCTCACCCTGACCCCTCACCTGACTCATGCATAAGCTCCAGGCTAAGCCCTCCTGGTATTGAGTAACAGGAGAACTACAGTGAGTAAACATGGTGAGAACCTGGAGGACAAGGATGGTTGTGCTGATAGGACACATTCATCTACTTTAACAGGAAGCCAAACTGAGGATGAGATTGATTTCCATTTATGAAAGCTGGTGAGCTTGATAGGACATGTCTGAACAAAAGACATTTATTCTACTTGGGAATGTGGTCAGAAATGTGTTTTTTGTTATAGAGCAACTAAGTCTATCACAACTAAAGGGCTCCAAAGCTTCTTGGTGAACCTAAAATAAAAATCCTTGCGTAATATAATCTTGGGAAGCTAAATCACTTTATTTGCTTTTGGGACTGTTTATCATTGAGACAGTTACATGTTGAAAACATTTGTTTATCAAATTATATCTGCTTACAATTCTTATTAATTGTGGTTTCTTTTGCATTGCAGTGTTTTAATCTTAGGTGCTTCTGGTGGTGTTGGTACTTTCGCTATACAGGTAAAATAACTAATCCTGTGAATAGGAAGATTTTGTTTACATGAATTTATAAATTCACATTATAAATTATTTTTCCTTAAAAACTGAGAGAAAGGTAGGTCTGGTAATGCACTGTAATTTCAGCTTGCTCTTCTGAAACGAAATGTTCTAATGTAGAGGGAAGTATTAACCTTTCCAGTGGTTAATATATGAGTGGATGTGTGGATGTCCTGTATAACAAACGTAGGAAAGCTTTTACAGAGACAGACAATGGGTAGTGCAGGAAGATGGAAGTTTGCAACTTGGTAGGAAACAACCAATGCCAATAACCAATACTGGTTTCCAGTCAAAATTTCTGCAGGCATTTTTGTAGGAATTGATGAGCTGATTCTAAAATGTGTATAGAAATGCAATAGCCAAAATACTATTAAGGTGGCAATACTCCCCCAAAGTGATCTACAGATTCAGTGCAATCCCTATCAAAATGCATAAATGCATTTTTTTGCATAAATGGACAAGCTTATTGTAAAATGTATATAGAATTATAAGGGACCCCAAATAGCCAAACAATCTTGAGAAAAAACAGAGTTGGAGACTCACATGTCCCGATTTCAAACTTAGTACTAAACAAAGCTACAGTAATCAAAATAATGTGGTCTGGCATAAGGACAGACGTATAAATCAATGGAATAGAATTGAGTTTCCAGAAATAAACCTATGCATCTGTGGTCAATTGATTTTTGGCAAGGATGCCAAGACCATTAAATGGGTAAAAGAATAGTCTTTTCAATGAATGCTGTTGAGACCACTAGATATTCACATGCAAAAGAATGAAGTGTGACCTCTGCCTCACATCATATAAAAAAAAAACAAACCTCAAAATGGGTCAAAGACCTAAATATAAGAGTTAAAACCATAAAATTCTAGAACATAGGAGTAAATGTTCATGACCTTAGATTTGGCAACAGATCTTAGATATGACACCAAAAGCACAAGCAACAGAAGAAAAAAATAGACACATTGAACTTTATTAAAATTAAAAACTTTTGTGCATCAAAGAGTACTGTCAAGAAAGTGGAAAGGCAACCCACAGAATGGGAGCAAATATTTGCAAATCATTAATCTGTTAAGGGTCTAATATCCAGATATATAACGAACTCCTACAGTTCAACAACAAAAAGACAAACAACCCAACTAAAAAGTTAGCAAAGAACTTGAATAGACATCTAAAGAATATATACAAATGGCCAATAAGTTCATGGAAACAATGAGATACCATGTCATCTCTACTAGGATGACTGTAATAAAAATAAAAACAAAAACAGAAAATAACAAATGTTGGCAAGGATGTAAAGAAATTGGAACCCCTCATGTACTGCTGGTGGGAATATCAAAAGGTGCAGCCACTGTGGAAGACTGTTGGTTCATCAAAATTTTAAACCTAGAATTACCATATGACCCAGGAATTCCATTCCTCAATATATACCTGAGAAAAATGAAAACATACATTCAAACAATAACTTGTACACTAATGTTCATAGCAGCATTATTCATAATAGTGAAAAGGTATAAATAACTGTAATGTCTGTGAACTGATGAATGGGTAAACAAAATGTGGTATATACATATGATGGAATATTATTCAGCCATGAAAAGGAGTGAATCTTTTTACAGTGATGCAATATGAATGAACCTTCAAAACATTACACTAAGTAATAGAATCCAGGCACAAAAGCTCACATTGTATAATTCCCTTGATATCATATGTCCAGAATAAGCAGATTCTTAGAGTCAGAAAGCAGATTAGTGGTTGTCAAGGGTTAAGGGGGTGGCAGGAATGGGGATTTACTGCTTAATGGGTGTGAGGTGTATTTTTTGGGGTGAGGAAGATATTCTGGAGTTAGTGGTGATTGTTCCATGTTATGAATGTACTAAAAGCCACTGTTTTACATAATTTAAAATTGCTAAAATGGTGAATTTTATGTTATATGAATTTTATCTCAAATAAAACAAAAAAACCAGTGTCCCAAGCCTCCAGGAACAGGATGGAGCCCATTGGCTGCTGCTGTTGTGGTCAGGTGTTTAACTGGCTGGCTCATTAGGGAGCAGGGCTTCTTAAGCCTCCTTTATATGGGGCAGAAGGCCTTTCCAGGAAGGAGGGTTTGGGTGCTATGCCTTTTGAGGACCCAGATGGTGCTAGGGGCTTCCCATTCATGCTGACTGAATTGGAAGAGAGGAAAAAGGAGATCTATTTCTTGGGAGTCTCTTAGTGAACAAAAGTTTAATCATTTTTACTAGTCTCTGACAGATGGCTTCCTATAGTCCTTGTTAAGACAAGGTACCTAAAGTTCTCTAGAGATCAATATGATATATGTACACATGGTGCCAACTTTTTTTTAAAAGGCAGTTTTTCTACTCCCCCCCCCCCCCCCTTTTTTTTTTTTTTTTTTTTGGCAGATAATGAAAGCATGGAATGCACATGTGACAGCAGTTTGCTCTCAAGATGCCAGTGAACTTGTAAGGAAGCTTGGGGCCAATGATGTAATTGATTACAAATCTGGAAATGTGGAAGAGCAGTTGAAATCCTTAAAACCGTATGTATTACGACAGTGTTCACATTGGGAAGGTGTGAATCTTTTTTTTTTTTTTTAAAAAGATGACCGGTAAGGGGATCTTAACCCTTGACTTGGTGTTGTCAGCACCACGCTCAGCCAGTGAGCTAACCGGCCATCCCTATATGGGATCCGAACCCAGGGCCTTGGTGTTATCAGCACCGCACTCTCCCGAGTGAGCCACGGGCCGGCCCGGGAAGGTGTGAATAAGGACAGTTGATTTTGTAGGTCTGAGATGGTTTGATGGCCTTACAAGTCATGTTGGAATCTTAGCAAAGAATCTATGAAAACATTTCATGTCATTACAAGTTATTTAGGTTGGTTTCTGTTTTAATTCCAGATGTTAATACAGTACAGTACCATAATATGGTATGTACTGAGGAAATTATTTTGTTTGTACTGTCCCTTGCTAATTTTTAAGTTAACTTACTTTTATTGCTGGTTTGTAAGAGGCCTGAAGGCAAAATTGGAAGTATGTTCCCTTCTGTGGCATCTGTCACCACAGGAAGAATATAGAATAGTGCATGAAAAGATATGATTAACCTAAACACGCTTTCAGGGTTTTGGCTTAATGAGGGCTTAAGAGAAACAAAGTAAGTGTAAATATTGGTAACGGGAGCACTGTGGACATTCTCAGTGTGTCCGAACAGGCTGTGGTTTGGCCTGCTGTACCCAACAGGAACAGATTCAGGAATTCTCCCAAGCCCTGTTGATCTGCACTGTGGCTCCAGCTTATTAACCTGATCTTCATTGAGCTAAGACAGAGCTAAAGCTGAGGGAACAACCAGGGAGTATTTGGAAAGCTCTTTTACTGCTTCTATTTCAAAGGTTTTTCCTTTTTAATTAGTTTTCAGAAGCCAATTACTCTTGTCCATGTTAGAAGTATATTTCCCGGGTTAAAAGAAAAAAGAAAGGGAGCCCCCACCTGACACTGCCTGTCCTTTCTCAGCCAGTGCCACCAGCTCCCAACAGTAGTAAGATAGTGCACTGAGGAGCAGCCAGCCGACTCATAATTTCTGCAGCTATTTATGGAGCATCTACTTTTGCCACGCGATGTTCTAAACACCAGATACAGTGGTGAACAAGACAATTGTCCCCTTCGTGGAGTATACATTCTAGCTGGGGAGGTTTTAGTGGTTAGTGCTCTGAAGAAAATTGATGCAGAGAAAGGGGATAACAAATGACTGGAGAGGAGGTTGTTACACGTAGGGCGGTTAAAGAATGCTCTTTGAGGAAGTGACATCTGGGCTGAGGCTTCAGTGAGCAAGCCACATGAATGGGATTTTCTTGTTTTGTTTTGTTCTCTGCTATATCTCTCCACCTGGAACAGTGTAGTAGCACATAGTAGTTGCTCAGCAATATTTAATTAATTATTGAGAGAATCTAAGAAAACAATTGTTTCAACTGGAGATAACAGCAAATATCAAGCTCCTGCATCAGGAACATGCTTGCACAGTTGAGGACTAACTCTATCCCTTGCAGAGGTCTTGTCAGCTACCCTCCTGCCTGCATGTCAGGCCTAAGCCTCTCTGGGCCCCAACAAGTGAGGGCATGACAGGCCTCTGAGATCTGGCTTCGAGATAGTGATAGTTTAGATTGATCTCGTATCTTCTGCTGCTAGGAATAACAGCATGACACTGAGGCCAAGGCCAAACCCAAACCATTCCCCTTTGTCTACCTTAAGTTTTATACATGTCTGGAATTTGTTGCAAGAGAACACGAGAACCTGACAGATGGGAGGCTGGAGGACACTCAGTCTAGCCTCCTAACTCAGTGCCACAGTCCCCTCCTCGGCATCTCTGGCAAGTGGTGTTACCTCTTTTGCCTGGACTTTCATAGTGGGACCCCACTCGCTTACAAATGCAGGCCGCTCCTTTTTTTCTTAACAGCTTTAGTTAAATTGATCTTTATCTAGAATAAATTCTGAATCTATCTAGAATAAATTTGTTCCTCCTTCCGGATAGCAGCTTTTTAGATATTTAATCTTAGAATTTTACAGCAAGAAAGGGCTTTGAAATCCTTCAGTCCAACCCTATCTTATTATAATTGAGGAAATTAGGGACAGAGGATTAATGAAGAGCAGAGGATTTATAAGCTTTTTGCATGCTCAAGGTCATGCCAGTAATCTTAGTGGGAGAGCTGGGTCTACAACCTGGTCTACAGACTTTTTTTTTTCCAGATATTGCCTGTTCTATAATACCAGGCTGCCCTTAAGTTTTATTTAAATTAAGTAGTATCCTTATATTTGTTTATTCAACATTTAGGAATGAAGTAGAAACTTTTCTAAGAAAAATAGTCATCTAGTAAGATCATTCTCCTGCATTTCATGTCCTTCAGTTTTTATTTGTTCTTCTTTAGTTTAGTGCCATGAAAGACTCAAGATCCATGAAGTTGGCCAAAGCTGGTTTTAGAAGCTTTGATGTTTGACTTCATCCAGATGAACCTGGAAGGGAAAAAAGATTTACCAAAAAGGAATTCATAAATTGATTTGCTTAATTTATATGCATGTATTTTCTAAATAGATCTTCATTTTCAAAAACATTTAAAAGCTTCATTGGGTTTTTGTTCCCTTTAAGTAGAGTGTAGTGATTATAGCAGTTTTAGGTTAGATTTAAGGAGCTGAATATCTGTCAGTTCCTGTGGATTCCATTATGACTGGATTTTTTTTTGGCATGTTAGAGCAGAACTGAAGACTGAGAGCAGACTGTTGATTTCTTTTTATGCATTATCCTGATGCAATGTATGAAACCAAAATAGAAAATTCTAGGAGGTGAAGAAGATGCATCTACAAGCATTTCTGACTATGGAATAAAAGCAAATCATTCTTATGGGTGAAAACCTTATATACTTTTCCTTCAAGTATTTATGTGCATTAAAGAATACTCTGACTTACGTTGAATGACAGCTTTGCAGTTTTCTACAAAGCTTAAGTCAGGGTTTCTCAACCCTGGCAACCTTAGTTTCTCAACTGCTGACATTCTGGATAATTTTTGTTGTTGTAAGGGACTATTTTAGGTAATCAAAATCACAGTTGGTTCAGAACCACTTCAGGTCATTCTTAAAGTATTAGAAAAAGATACGATTTTATGACAAAAAAATTAATCATATGTGACTTACCTTGGAGGAAACCATAGATGCAGTGAGTGGGTGAGTCCTTTCTTCTCTGTCAAAGCAACTACCCTTCTGCTGGATGGTGTAGTACATACAGCAGGGTTTGTGAGCTGTCACTGAAATAAACCCTAGAGCCAACTGGTGATGGGAGTGAAGAGGGATCAGCCCAGCCTGAAGACTGACAAGGATGTTTTGATTTGGTTCTTCCTCTCCAGGTTTGATTTTATCCTTGATAATGTTGGCGGATCCACTGAAACGTGGGCTCTGAATTTTCTCAAGAAATGGTCAGGAGCCACCTATGTGACTTTGGTGACACCTTTCCTACTGAACATGGACCGATTGGGCATAGCAGATGGCATGTTGCAGACAGGAGTCACTGTGGGTTCTAAGGCATTAAAGGTAGGAAGCAGAGTGTTGGCTGGTGAGAGCAAGAGGGTGCCTCATGCTGCTGGAAATTGGTGTGCTGCCTCGCCAGCTTCCCTTCTCTTGGAGGCAGCATATAGCACAGTGCCTGCAAGCATGGTCTCTGGAGTCACACTGACTGCATTCAAATTCTGACCTCTACTTAGTCACTGTGTGACCCTGTTCCAGTTACTTAACATATCTAAGCCCCAATGTCTTCACCTATAAAATGAGGCTGATAATATATCTACCTTACTGCATTGTTGTAAGGATTAAATGAGATAATCCATGTGAAGAACTTGGCACAAAATGCTTAGTACATAAGAAGTTCTTATTACATGGTAGCCTTTATCATTAGGTATTATTACCTTCCTTGATTCCATCTGGTACACTTTCTGTTTCCTTCTTGCCTGTACTGATGGCCCTTTCTGTGTTTCTCCAGTCCTAACACATACAGTCTCTTGTATATAAAGGTGGAAACTTTGTTTAGACAGTGTATAGCTGCTGTTTTCATGGTAGTAGCATTGGGATATACCAGTGATTCCCAGATTGGGGCTTTCAGACCGTTAGAGGTCTGTGGGCATTATTTTGAATTTCGAAAACTTGAGAGAAATTGTACTCTGAAGGAAATGAGGTACAAAGGCTAATAGAACCATCGTGTGTGACCCTGCATATCCCATGTGAATAAGCAACTGTAGCTATGATGGCATCATGGAAGTTTCTGAGACTTGATTGGTCATCCTGACTCTGTTAATGGGGCTTCTACTGCCAGGGCTATGTGGAGCTGTATTACCCAGATTGAACACATCCAGTGAGTGGTAGGCCTTGGAGACTAGCCTTAGTTATAGGACTGATCGCAGAGCTTGGGAGTCTGCTCTCTACTTGATGTGATAGCCTGTTGTCATCATGGTGGGTGCAGAGGCTTAAATGATTTCACGTTGCAAACCCTTGGTAATTATAGATCATTGGTTGAAAATCTGAATTAGTGTTGAAGTGGAATATGTGATAGAAAAAAAATAAAGCTAAATTCTACTTTTTTGTAATTGGACAAAATACTTCAGACTCAAGAAAAAGGCACTCAAAGGTTCCTCAGTGGTGAGACGATTGTGAGTCACTGCGTCAACCCAGCCAACACTGACCCAAGTTTGTGAGATGACTGGCTTAATAATTATATTTAGCTTCTTTATTCTAGAAATTAATTTGGGACCTTCTGGAGGGCAAAATTTAGGACTCTGGTCTCTTGGGTTCTGTGTGCTAACTAAATACTTAGAGGTAGTAAGGAAAGGCTGTGATAGAGAAGACCACGACTCAATTCTTACAAACTATGTGTGGGTAATAGAGACGAACAGACCCAGCGCTGCACTCTTGTGTTCTTTATCTTTGTTTGACTCAGACAGCAGCCAGAAACAGTGTCCACAGGGTACTTTGAGGCAGAGAAAGGGATCTTAGCTGTCCTTTGCTTCTTATTCTCTTTTCATAAAACCCAGACTTTCCAGTGCTTTAAAAAATCGTAAGCTTAAGTTTTCTGTAGGATTTCACAATTTCTGCTCCAGGGAGATGCCTTACAAGTTAACCTTCAGAGTTGTCCTCTGAGAGTAAAACAGGCACAACTCTTCTCTTTTGCGCCTGCTTGAAAGATGATAGTGGTAATCTCATTTGAAAACCTTTTAAGTAGTTTCCAGGGTCTTTCTGAGACTGTGTGCAGTTAAAGCTTCATTGTCATGCTTCTGACTCTCCTGCATGCCGTGGTCTACTTTCTCTCCTACAACGGCCTGGGAAAAAATATACAGACCCGTTGTAGCAGAATATAAAAATTCTGCTACTGCAAACTACACGTTTCACTTTACAGGGTAACATGCTATGAAGAATTGTAGACGTGGCAGTTGTGACCATTTCTTCTCCTTCTTTAATACCCGAAACAATTACCAGAATGTTTTAATTGTAGTTCATGAGGCCAGACCACAGGGAGAAGTACTTGAATGGGTCTTTTGTGATTGTCATTAACTGGGCCCACTGTGAGCTTGGGACATTCTCAATGCTTCTGGTATCTAGCCACATAGCCATCAAATGGTATTTTTTTCTCTTTTCTTCTTCTTCTTTTTTTTTTTTTTTTTGTCTTTTTTCGTGACCAGTAATGGGATCGCAACCCTCAGTGTTGCGCCCGCACCATGCTCAACCAGTGAGCGGACCGGTCTCTATATGGGATCCGAACCCTCGGCAGGAGCGCCGCCGCACTCCCAAGCACCGCACTCTACCGAGTGCGCCACTGGGCCAGCCCTTTCTCTTTTCTTCTTAAGTTAGTTGCTTAGACCAGTGCTTTCCAACCTCATTCAGGCTGTTGCACACGTAGGAAATGATAGTATTGGGACAGCATCTTGAGGCTGCTCCGGTCCCAGAGCAAACTATCTGGAGACTTCTGCCAGCCCAGGCTCTGCTTTGCTACCCTGAAGGCTGGGGGGAGTCAATATCTTGTCACCTTTTTAGGGTAAGCTTGACTCTGTTTATATGTTGTCTTGGGGTAATTATTAATGGTGACTTCTTTAACTCTCACAATTTTTATGTATTAAACTGTAAACTATAGGATAAACCAGTAAGCCATTCCTGGGACACCAGTTGGGAAGCTTTACCTAGGCAACAGCTTAGTTTTTTCTTCTTTCTTTCCACATTAAACTCTGATTTGGTATTGTCCCAGTCTTTTCTCAATAAGCTTTACTTTCAGCACTCGACAAATATTTATTGAATTCCTTCTACATCAGGCATTTTATATACATTCTCCAACCGTCCTTCCAACAATCCTGTGAGCTAGGTGGTGGGATCGTCATTCTACAGGCCAGGAAGCAGGCTGAAATAAGTATCTTGACCAAAATGACACAACTAGTAAATGCCCGAGCTAGGGGAGTGGGGGAATTCCATTGTACTTGCCAGCCTCATGCCGTGGTAGTAGCTCATACCATGCTGAGGGATTGTGAGGCAGAGGGTGAGCTCAGTGGGAAGAAGTGTGGGGAGGGCCGCGACATGGTACTGGCTGACCTGAACTGCCTCTGGTTAGCTCCCATCTGAAGAAGTTTGGGTGGGCGAGTTGTTGTGGTATCATGGAGAACCTCAGTTCTCTTGCTGTTTCAGTAATGGCCCACTACCTCTGACAACCTCTGACATAAAGAAGAACAATTATGAGTGGGTATAGGGCAGTAGAGAGGTCATGAACCCTCTCGGTGTAAGATTTTTGCTCATCCTCATCTGGAGGTTTTTCCCATGATAGATTGGATGGCTTGGTACTCACCATAGCTCAGAGGAAGACCCAGCCACGATGCGCAAGGAGCTTGACACTTGGTTATGCCTTTAAGGCTGCCTTATTCCTGTCAGAGCCAGAAAAAAATTTTGTGATTGGATTTCTGTCTAAGATCATATTTTGGTGCCTGATTACCCCCAAAGCATTTTTGAATTTGGTAAAAATCTCTTTTCTGGTGCCTCTGAGCTTCATTCAAACCTTAATAGGGAAAGCCTAGAGTCTCAGGCCCTAATTCCTCTTAGGGAAGAAGTCCAGTATGTAGGACTATGTAGACTATCATTTTAAGGTGAGCTTTCCTGTGCTTACTTGCTCATCAGTCACAGCTTGGAGAAGAAACCTGAGTCAACACAGGCATATCTTTATTCATCCATTTATTTATTAAACATTTATGGAGCATTCACTATCCGTCAGTCACTGTGCTAAGGTGCTAGGCATGCAACTCATTGTGTCAGCATGAAATGGGAAATCAGTTTGTGTGTCTTAATCATCCAGAAAATGCTTTTCCCTGAATTTGCATTTAGTTGGATTTTATCCTTTTCTATACTTGACATGTTTTGCTTTCTTCTATTTAGCATTTCTGGCAAGGAGTTCATTATCGCTGGGCCTTTTTCATGGCCAGTGGTCCATGCCTAGATGACATCGCAGAACTGGTGGATGCAGGAAAGGTATGTGCATCTGGAAACCTGCACTGCAAGAGCACCTCTCGTAGACCTGACCACCAAGCCTAGTCAGTGGGAACTCTCCAGAGGTAGGCTTAGCCAGTACATATACTGCCTTACATGGCCAAATTTAAGTGCTGGATGTTTTGTTCTGTCCCCTCGGAAATCATAGGCATAGGTTACTACATCTGAAAAAGAGCTTTCCCTATCTAGTCCAACCCCCTTGATTTATAGATGAAGAGGCTCTCCCAGGGAGGCTATATGATTTTCTCAAAAACACTTGGTAGATGGAGCAGAGCTGGGATCTACACTGGGCTGCTAATATTTTGGTAGTGGTCCTGAAAAGATGGGACCATGAGGGCGATCTCTGCATAAAGGTAAGAACACACTTGTGAGTTTCTGGTAGAACTGCTTCTGGAGCTTCTTAGTCCAAGGGTGAGGCTGCTCTGGAGATAAGCAGGTTTCCAGATAAGCTTGGGGAACAAACATTGTGGAATCTAAATCCCAGCAGGGCTGGATGAGAAGTCTGGTCCCCAGGTCTCCTGATTCTAGTGTAATAGAATCAAGGGCAAATAAATGATACATCTGAGAAGGTCAATGGCCAGGATGTGGGTGAAGATTGATAGAAATTTGGGTGGAGACAGCTGGTTGGTGTTCTTTGACTACTAGTGTCTGTTCTGCAGTAGACTTTGTGGGAAGGGGATTGTTGCTTATAGTCTGGCCATCCTTTTTGGAGTGTCAAAAGGCTTTTCAGGGCTCTTGGCTTTTCAGTTGGTACCTGCTTATTTGGGTTCTTACATGGTCTTAACTGCCCTGATATTCCATCTCTGGAGGAATAATGCAGAATATGACTCATATTCTCATGCTGCTATTTGTGATTTTATTGAGAAATTATATGGAATTGTAGGATGGAGAACCTTGTACACCTTAGAGAGTTGCATGAGATCCTAGGTACAATTATTCTCGTTTTACAGATGAGAAAACTGGCTCAAAGAGGAAAAGGGACATACTCAGGCTTGCAGAAGTGGGAACCGAACTCACACATCCTGATACCCAGTCCCGTGATTTTTCTCCTTCATCATTCATCTGCATTCTTAGTGCTTGAGGCTGATTTGGGACTTCAGCTTATGTCATTTTGTCCTTGTCATTTTGCAATGGGCAGGGAAAGGGGTTGGAGCAGGGCCAGCATTACAATCACATGATCCATGTTAAGACAAGTTTAAGTGGGCCGGCCCCGTGGCTCACTCGGGAGAGTGTGGTGCTGACAACACCAAGGCCACGGGTTCGGATCCTATATAGGGATGGCCAGTTTGCTCACTGGGTGAGCGTGGTGCTGACAACACCAAGTCAAGGGTTAAGATCCCCTTACCGGTCATCTTTTAAAAAAAAAAAAAAAAAGACAAGTTTAAGTGCTTAGAAAGAGCCCCTTGAGGTGGGCTTTCTTCTGCCGGCACCTGCCCCTTGCTGGCCCATTTCATCTTTCCAGTTTGGTTTTGGAAAGGAATGATTTTAGTAACTACTGGCTGCTTTTTGTGCATTTAGGCTTTTTATTCTATTACAGTCAAGGAAGTATGTGATAAAGGATGGCCTTTTATTATTTCCCAAGTTTTTTGGTTCCAAGTTTGGTCCCTTTTCTTGGACTTCTAAGTCTTGGTGTGTCCAGTGGTGACAGGGACTCAGCATTATTGTAACTGTATAAGTGCCTCTTTATAGGGTTCTCCCACATCCCACAGGGATGTTTATCTTGTTTCTAGGAAGAAGTTAATGAACTATCATCAAATAAGTGCTTCATGTGGCTGGAGCCTGTATTAGTCTGTTTATGTTGCTTATAACAAAATATCTGGAATGGGTGATTTGTAAGAAATTAAATTATTTCTTACAGTTTCTGAGGCTGGGTGGTCCAAAGTCCAGAGAACACATCTGGTGAGGGCCTCAGTGGTAACAGTGACCTAGCGGTCTCACATGGCAGCAGCAGACCAGAGAAAGAGAGTAACCTCCTAATTCACTCTTCTTTTAAAGCCCTCAGAACCATGCCCATGACCACCATTAAGCTGTTCACTATGGAAGGGTCCTCACAATCTAATCACCTCTTCAAGGCCCCAGCTTTCAATTACCATAATAGGATTTCTCACCCTCTTAACACTGTTACAGTGGGGATTAAGCTTCAGTGAGTTTGGGGGAACATTCAGTCCACAGCACAGCCCCATTATTAGAGAAGTACATACACCACACGATTGTGCTTGTCCTAATGTCTGCTCCAGCTGACTACATGCTTACTGTTGCTTTTTTGTATTCAAAATATTGTGACTCTCTCTTTACCTGGAAATTATTGTTTACCCAACAGAGATACGAGGTAACTTGTATATATCTACCTATTAAGTTTGGCAGATAACTGGTAGAATGGCTAGAAGAGGACACATAGAACAAAGATGCCCTTGAAGTGTCCTCGAAGGAGGGTGAGTGAGGAAGTGTTCCTTTTGCCTTGGATTCTCCTCCCTTCCACCCAGACTGTTTGGGCTTGGGAGTCGTTTCTGATAGTGAAGGGCTCTGGGACTGTACAAGGTGATACGTGACAGTGGATGCCACAGTGAGGTCAGCTGTGCTGTTGTGTCCCTGCTTCCCTGTGGGTGCAAGAGGTCATTGCTTATTTATGCTGAAAAGTTGGAAAGAATCACACCACTTTTTTGAATAAATATATTCACAAGGTTCAAAATTCAAAAAAGTGGGAAGAGTTATTTCAAGAAGTATTTTTTACCAGCCAGCTGTGCCCTTCCCCCACCAAAAAAGCTTTTGACCCTTGTTCCTCATTCACTGAGATTCTGCTTGTCACATAACCAATGTTACCAGTTTCTTGAGTACTCCAAAGAGTAGTCAATACAGGAAAAAATCAATATCAATACAGGAAAAAAATTATGTTATCTTTCTTCCTTCCTAACAGAAACGGGTAATATACTGTTCTGCACCTTGCAATTTTTTTTTTTTTAAACAGCATGGCTTGAACTTTGTTTCAAATCAGAATGTAAAAAGCTTCCTCATTCTTTTTTCTTGTACGTAGCTGCATAGTATTCCATTGTATGGATGTGCTATAATTTATTTAACTATTCCAATCTTTTGCAAATAATGCTTCAGTGGATAACCCGGTATTTGTGTTAAGTGCCTAATTGTGGGTATGCCCATTTCTACTCATGCAAATGGGAATGCTGAGTCAAAGTTTATATGCATTTATAATTTCGGTAGATATTAAAATAGCCAGCTTTTAAAAATTTAGTTTGTGTATTTAGTGTTTGGAATTTCCCTTGTGGCCTACCTTCTAGGTCCCTTCTTTCTTTCTTTACCCATTTTCTTGCCTTCTTGCCTGTTTTACTTCACTGTTTCTAGGGATGTGAAGATCTGGCACTGGTCACTTGTGACCTAAACTGTCCTAATAAAAATAGTATTTGGATTAATGAGTAATATAGGTGGAGTCTGAATTCTGCTTATTAGCCCTATGTGCCCCAGTAAAAATGGAGACGCCACAGAGCTAATATCCACAATAATGAGCACTCTGGGTTGGTCCACTAGTAGCATCATACTTATAGTTTCTTTATGGACCCAGCCCTGCCTTTGCTTTCTCGCGGTAACTACTGCATGCAGTAGATATTTTTGGAATTAGGTCTCCTACCTTTAACGTGCCCACCATTGTCACTCTCAAAAGTAGTGAGGAGATGAAGTTTCACAGGCGTGTGGGGACCTCACAATTCATTTCTCCTAGAAATCCAAACTTAGGCATTATTTTCACTTGACTCATCGCGAAGGCTTGTTGCACACAATAGGATTTCATATTTAGCCTAACTGGGCACTGATTCAGTCTGAATTTTAAGAATTATACAGTATTTTTCATTATATCTTAGACCAGGGGTTGGCAAACTACTACAGCCAGTGGGCCAAATCCAATCTGAGGTCCATTTTTTTACACCTCCTGAGCTGAGTGATTTTTACATTTTTAAAGATTTGTTTAAAAACAAAACAAAGAAGAACATAGACCATGTGCAGCCTGCAAAACCTAAAATATTCACTCTCTAGCCCTCTATAGAAAGAGTGCTGATCCTTATCTTAGACTAGTAGTTAAATGATTTTTAACCATGGAGCCCAGTCCTGGCAAGCCCCAGTCCCTAGAACAGGCAGAGGGGAGCTGCCCTGCTGGTAAAACGATGACAGGGAGCAGCCTCCTGTGCCAGTATTCTCTCTCTCTCCCTGCAGCTGCTCCAGGAGACTCTGAGCTCTCGGATACCAGTTTGAAAACCACTGTTCTGGGCAGTCTCAAAAAGAATGATTTATAATTAGCACATTGAGGGCATGGGCTGCTACTGAAATTGTGTCTTGTGCCTACAAACAGTTTATTGGCATTTTTTCCTAAGCACAATTAACATTTCCTGTTTTTATACTATTTAGTTTTAGCAAACTTTTTCTGGTGTGGGGGTGGGAGGCCCATAGCAAAAATTATACTCAGGCCAAGTTTATATCATTAATTAGCATACTCATAGATTAAAAATAGAAAAACCTGGCACTTCTCTTGTCTACTGTCCTCACCCTCCCATCCTGCCATTATGTCATGTTTGAAGAGACAGAGGCCCTAAGAAAGTAAGCGATGTGCTTAAGGTCACACTGCGAGGTGGGGCCCAGGCCTTTTCACCCCTAGAACAGTTGCTTTCACTGGCCTTTGCTGCCTTTAAGATTGAGGCAGTACTAATTAATTAATCCCTTATACAGCCTTCGATATTTTTTGCTTGCTTTAATAGTCATCCAAACATTATATAGGTGAAGTTTGAGTTCTTGGTGTTTTATGATAGCTTCTTATATTTCTCAGTGTATTTCAGGACTGAGAGGAGGTGGTGAGGCAGATTCTGGCTGGGGGTCAAGTATGAGAGGAAGATTTTTCTTTGTAGCCTTTTATCTTTTTGAGTATGTTTATTTGCACAAATATATTCTTTATATAATGATTAAAGCCCTTTGGTGTCATGTACTCAATGTTTACAGGTCTATTCAAAATCCTAGGTGATCAGCCAAGCTTCTCAGTTGAGCAGTGATACAGATTTATATGTTTATTTCCTTGTTTTAGCCAGCATCAGAATAGTTCTCATGTGACTTATTTGAGTTCAGTTCAAAACCTTTACTAAGGGTCCACTAGCATGCTACTTCACCCAGCAGGGTGCAGAGAGGTGTGTTGGCCACCTTTCCAAGCTGTGCTGTGCACTAGAACTTTCTACAATGATGGGAATGTTTTCTGCACTGTCCAGTAAGGGGGCCAGTAGCTGCATGTAACTGTTGAGCACTTGAAATGTGGATAATGCAACCAAGAGACTGAGGTTTTCATTTTTTTTTTCTTAGCTTTGATTAATTTAAATTTAAATAGCCACATATGTCAAGAGGCTACCACATTGGACACTGCAGCTTTAGAGAAAAATGTAAGGAGTTCTGAAGCAGGTGATTTCCTAGACCCCTCTTGGATAGCCAGGCCCTAATTTAGCAATGAATTACATTATAAACTTTAAGTTCCTTATTGCAAGTGGACTTTGCTCTGTAGACAGAATTAGTGATGGGGATTGGATCCCTATGACCACTAGAAGAGGGTGACCTTGCCAGATATGGCAAGTAACTCATGGATCTCACAGCCTTGATGCTTCTGAAGTTGTTCTGATGCTACTGAAATTGTTTATATGAGGAAATATATACTGAATATCTCCTCTCACCTTCTGGCTGTAAGGAGTGGGGGACCTAGGGACAAGTCCTGGATGCTTTCCAAAATGGGCACATTTGCTCCCTGGGAGAGTATTCCCATCCACCATCCCCTCCCATCCTACCACCTATCTTCCAGCTAAGTTTTACATCTGGGGACAGGAAGTTTCTAAGAAATAGCAAATCTGAGCAAAACTCACCTGTTCTTTTTGTCCTCTTCTTATTTAGGGGAACTTAGTTTAAGCCCCCTTTTTCCCCTTTGCCCCTACCCTGGAAATATTGGCCTATCACAGAGGTCAAGGACATACTTGTCCAATAGGCAGTGCTAGAACTGCAGACCAGGTGCTCATACTAGGAGCCCCTAGGTCTTCCTCGGTGTCTGTCATCTGTCAGTCTCTCCTCACACACCCCACCCTCTGAGATCTGCAGCTGCTGTGCCTGGTGGAGGATGAGGCTGAGGGTCTAGCGGAAGAATTGGAACAGACTGTGACTCCCCAGCTGTATTCATCCTATGCAGTACTGAAATCCAGAGTCCTAGATTCTAATTTTGGCTCTGCTGTGGACAGCTCTGACCTTGCACTTACCACTCAGCCACTTGTGCTTGTTTCCCAATCTATCCAAACAGGCTACCTCAGATATTTAGATCCTTTTTGGGTCTACTGTTTTGTGCTTCTTGCTGGGAAAGTGGGAAATGGGGGGAACCTATCTGCCTGCTGCCATGCCTGCCTAGATGATGTCCTTTCTCCACCAGCAATCCCATGCCCTTGCCATGGTGGAGGTTTTATTTACTCTTCCCCTCAAGGGGCATTGAGGATTTCAGAGGGAAGGAGGACTTGCCCAGTGGCTGGTAAGCTGCAGTATTCCAAAGCCACATCCAGGGAGGTTGAGGTTCCTGTGGTCCCTATGTTCTCCTAGAAGGGATATCAGGCAGCAAATGCCAAATCCTGGAGCCTGGCTTGGTACAGCCTTTGTTTAAGGAAGGTAAGGCATAATCAAGAGACCTCACACTTGAATCCAGGACTGAATGAGGGCTGCTGCTGTGGACCTCTCTGGTCAGTGTAAGCCCTGTGTGTCTGTGCAGTGGGCAGTGTGGTGTTGAGTCTGCCTGCTTTATAACAGGGCTCCCTATGCCAGGTGGACTATAGCAGTGTCATCACATAAATGTCCCCGGTTCACTGTGAGTAACCTTTCTTTCCCCTCTCTGGATTTTAACTCTGATCCCTTTGTCTTCAACAAACAAGCATTCTAGGTCCAATGTCAGGCTATACATAGACACTGTCTCATTATCCAGTTAATCTCCATTTGCTGTCACATATTCAACCAACAGTGGCATTTGTCTGCCTGTAATTTGAAAGCCTTTTTTTTTTTTCATTGTCACTTATGGGAATTGCTGAATGACTCATTATGCCACTGTCAGCCCTCTTGGGTTATTTGCCACAATAGGCCTGACCAGCCAGATTAAATGTGCAGTAACTGCAGGCTGCCTGTGTCATCAGTTCAGGCTCAGTGTTTCCGATCAGAGCTCTAAAGTGAAATAGCTAGATGAGCTGAGGCAGTTCATTCTGGAATCGAGCCTGTTTTGTATACCTGCTCTGCATTAGTGCCTAGCACCTAGAAGGGAGACACTTTGGCTTTGTGGAATGGATGAATATGTGTACAATACAAGTTAGGGACGCTAATAAGGCAAAAGGCCACAGTGGTTTCCACTTTAGTGTGCATACAGATCACCTGGGAAGCTTATTTAAAATACATTTTCTACCTCACCTCTAGAGAGTCTGATTTAGTTGTTCTAACAGAAGGCTTAGGACTCTGCATTTTAAGCATGCATTCAGGTGATTTTTTTTCCTGGTTAAACAGCATCCAGAAGACAATGTCCCAGGGGCTTTAAGGAGAGTGAAGGGTTCAGAAGGTTTCATGTGGGACATACAGGAAATGACTTTAATGGATTCCGTTCCCTTACCAGAAAAGGTAAACAGGTTTCATCTAACAAGCCAGCTCAGATCAGTTCATAGTGGCTGTGAGGTGGAGGAAGATTCTGGGGTCATGCTCAGCTTGCTGGGAATTATCAATTAGTGATGTCCTCCATAGGCACAGATGGGAGTGTTGGCCACATATCTGTCATTTTGGTGGCCCAGACATAGGCCCTAGAGACCAGACCGTCAGCTGGCACAAGGAAGGCGGGCTAAGATGCAGGCTGTGATAAATCATTATAATCCTTGGCTACCTTTCCCTTTATGATCTTAGGGGTAGACATAGAATACAGCAGATGATATATGAAAGGCTCAGTGCATAGTGGTGAGAGCAGACAGTGGTGCCAGATTGAATCCTGCCTTACCACTTAGCAATAGTGTGATGCTGGGAGTTCATTTAACTCTGTGCCTTCATTTCTTCATCTGTAAAATGGGAGTAATAATAGTCCTACCTCAGAAGGTGGTTAGGGATTAAACGAGGTAAAATATTTAGAGCCTTTTAGAACAGTGCTTGGCACATAGTGAGAACAATACATGCCAGCTGCTACTTTTATTATGAGCTTATGATTTATGGGTATGAAAGAATGTTCGGCTCTTTGGAGAAGGGAACTTCTGGAATCTGAGATCTCTTCTGGTGCCTGGGCTGTGAAATTCACATGAGAGGAAGTTTCATCAGATGCATTTGAAGATCACAGGAGCACTTCTTCCTCTTTTAAAAGGAAAAGGATTGTAAAATGTATGAGCTGGCTTATGCCTTCTGATAACTTATCCCTGCCAGTGGAGCTATGGGAGGCAGGCCACCAGCATACCCAGTGGACAATTATTGGTTTTTTGCTTGAAGTTTTGAAAAGGAAGAGTTCAGCTGGATTTTTGCATGAGGAGGGAGGGGGTGTTACCTGGGACCTAGTTACAGGAGGTTGCTTGCAGTACTGATGATATGGTAAAAAGAACCAGCAGCATTCAAATATTTATAAGCTGGCTGGAATGGCTTTCCTGTAAATTCTAACCAGCTGTGCCTCTGTTTAGCTAAGCCTCCCAGGGCATCTCCAGCCTGGCCAAGGTCTCCTGAAGCCCAGAGAGCTCACTTATCTCATTGGTTTTTACCTAAGTGACATTTATTAAGCTCCTACTATATGCCTAGTGTTATGCTGATTGTTGTGGGGCATACAAAAGAGGTGGCCTATATATACCCCAGGTACCTTACGCTGTGGTCGAGTAGATATGCCAAACATTTAAGAAATTAAAAAAAAAAATCTATACTTATTCTGTGCACTGTAGTAAGGGGACCACAGGGATACCTACAGCAAGGACCTTGGGATTACCCCTTTGGTATTTACCATACACAACAGGGTGGCTGAGACATGTACTGAGCTATAAGCGCAGTCCCTGAAGAGGGCCGCGTGGTTCCTGTAGTTCACAGGGGGAGCACACTGCAAACTAGGGGATTAGGAAAGGGAGTGTGAGACCTGTGCCTGAAGGGTGGTAGAATTTTCAAAGAGGGATTTCTGGGCTGATTGACTTGTATGAGCAGAGGCACAGACTTACCATGTTCAGAAAAAAGACTAGACCTTTTTGGTAAAGCGTAGAATCTGCATGAGGGCTGAGGCTGGGATGGCAGTGGTCTTTGGCTTGGGAGCTATTGAATGGTTCTACGTAAGAGAATGAGCCAACAGCATAGAGTACAAGTAAGACTGAGCGATGGTGGAGATGGGCTGCCTTGGAGAGAGGAGATGCGATGAGGCAGGAGCAGAGGCAGGAGTCAAGGCTGGGCGTGAGCTCCTGACCTAGGTCCAAGTGGAGAGAGACCTGCACTGAGGGAGGGTGTGAAGAAACTAATTACAGATGTCGTCTGCCTTGAAAGATATAGGCTTTCTCATCCACAAGTCAACCTCTTCTTGTGTTTTACAGATTCAGCCAGTTATTGAACAAACCTTTCCTTTTTCTAAAGTTCCAGAAGCCCTTCTGAAGGTGGAAAGGGGACATGCACGAGGAAAGACTGTAATTAATGTCATTTAAATAAATACGTAGTTTTGTGGTTTTGGCTGTCTTATTTATTGAGAGCCTTTGGGCGCCAACTTTTTTCTCCCCCTCCCTTTCAAACATTTTTTCTGGGTAAGTTCCATGATGTAAGTTTGAAAAAATGAACACACCTTTTTTGCCAGTAATGTGCCAATAATTGATACAAAAATATCAGCACTTAGACTTGTGGTCAGTGAGAATTGCATATTGTTTTTTTCAAGCTGTTCTTTCACACCAGCTTTGCAGATTGCTGTGACAGCTTCTCTTCTAGTAGCTTAAACTCTTTTTTTTTTTTTTTTTTTTAAAAGATGACCGGTAAGGGGATCTCAACCCTTGACTTGGTATTGTCAGCACCACGCTCAGCCAGTGAGCAAATCGGCCATCCCTATATAGGATCTGAACCCGTGGCCTTGGTGTTATCAGCACCGCACTCTACCGAGTGAGCCACGGGCCGGCCCTCAAACTCTTATCTTAATGTTTGTGAGATATTAAAAGTTTTGGTGTATGGATGGATGGATGTTATTTAAAGCTAGTTTCTTGTTGAATTCATCAATGAGCACTTTTCTAACTGGCCAAGGTTTCCTTTTGTTTTTATTCTTGCTTTAATGTGGTCATCACAGCTGTGAATATCTTACAGTCATATATAAAAATCTAGCCAGTGATTCATTTGCTTGCTCTTAATATTCAAAGGTAAGACTTAAAGTTTCTAACTTAAAAACCTGTACATTTTGCCAAAGAGCTGTACCTCTTTCAAAAATTGAAATATGCTTCTCTGAGGGCTTTTCCATGGAAATTGCAGCTATTCAAACTGAGCCCAAAGTTTGCCTCAAATGCATGCATTTAGGTATCTCATAACTAAACCTGTCACAGTGTGCACTTTTGAGTCTCTAGCCTGTCTCCTCTTAAGGTAAGTGGTGTTTATTTCCTGTCGCACTAGTCCTCATTATTGCACCTGTGATACTTGTTTCTAGCTTTTGATGTAGACCTGTCTTAAGAAACTCTCTACGTGGTATATTCCTGTTAGACACTCATTTCGTAGTGTTTTGGACGTGGGCTTTTCCCTGGGATTGCTGGTCTTATCAGTACAAATTTATTTCAAAAGGAAATGTTTTTCCAGTTGTAAATACCAGCTTCTCTTGACTTCCATCTGCAGCAGTCTCAACTCTTTTCCCTTGAGGGCTCCCAGGTGGTAGTGAGGAGTGAAATACTTGAGGAAGGGAAGATGAGCCAGGACCTGTCTCACCCTTGTTCCCACCCTCAGAAGCCATTGAGTCCAGAAAGAGGGTCAGAACTTTGCCTGCTGTACACCAGCACCCTTCAAACCTGCTTCGCCCTGCTCTGTCAGACATTTGTTTCCAGTCTGCTGACTCTCTTTGAAGTGTTAGATAAGGGCTACCAAATGCACTTTGTCAGATTTCATCAATATAGTTAACCAGAAACTAGTTTATTCAAGAAATAAATTCAGCACAGGCTAGTGGAGAAGATTGTACCCCACCGTATGTAAGGATACACACAAAGGGCCTGAAATCAGAGCTGGACATCCATATTGCTAGGGCTCACAGACCCTTCAAGCCTGTTGTACGGACTGGGTCACCAGACCCCTCACATACAGATCCACAAGCTAGGTAATTGGGAAAGGTCATGGGAGCCATTGGCTGATGAAATGAGCTCGGTCCTCCTCAGCAGCAGCAGCCTTCTGGAGGCCCTCGCAGCAACAGCCTCCAGCAGCAGTAGCAGCCTTCCTGTGGTCCTCCTGGGTGTGGGGGACACCGTGGATCAGGGCCACTCATCATTTATGCTTAAGTCCATAACCCAGGACACCTGGGTACTCATGCACATCTACATCAGACAATAGCCAAGGAACACCTGGGCACATGTGCATATTTATATCAAATGCTTGGCAAGATTCTGAACATCTGAGGGGCCCTGACCATTTTCAGCAGCCTTCCTGTGGTCCTCCTGGGGGTGGGGGACACCGGGGATCAGGGCCACTCATCATTTATGCTTAAGTCCATAACCCAGGACACCTGGGTACTCATGCACATCTACATCAGACAATAGCCAAGGAACACCTGGGCACATGTGCATATTTATATCAAATGCTTGGCAAGATTCTGAACATCTGAGGGGCCCTGACCATTTTCCTATATTTTCTCTACAACATCTAAGAACCAAGCAGACATGTTGGATGCTGTTGTACATGAGCAAATGTTATTTTAAAACTGAAGATAAACTATTCTAATGACCATAATTGCCTACCAGAGACTCCAGAAAAGATCAACATTTTAGAATCAGAAACACACTTGAAACAAGGTATATTCTCCCTGTGACCAGAGCACCAGGATTTGGTGACGAGGCCAAAAGGAGGAAGAATGTATTCAAGGAAATGTTTAGAAATTTTGTTCAAAAGTAGAACCCACCGTTTGAACAGCACTGTATGTGTCAGTGTATTGTTTGCAAACAGTTTCAATTTACCTTCTTAAAATTCTTACTGCACTTTAGAGTTCTCAGATTTCACCAACAAATAACCCTTAAGGTCTCCTTTCCTTCACCTTCTGGAGAGAATTGCTGGTCACCCTCTTGAGCCTTCCACACCTCTCTTTTCTGCTGCCAAAAGAAAGTGACGTAGGGACAGAACCCCCACACCTGAGGCTGTCCCACCAGAGCACAGTCAGGGAGACACCCCATGCAGGCCACTAAAAGATCTGAGTTCAGCAAAAAATTGTATAACATTCTTTTAGCCCTTGCTGTAGATGAGTTAAGGATGGGCTAATAATGTAGGTCGTGGTAATACTGTTCCAGGAGCAGCTATAAGAAAGGCTTTATTAAACAACACTCATGTGTGACAGTGTAGACCAGCCCATGGGTGTTTAATCCTAATAAACATTGGCAGACATGGACATGTTAATTTTGTAAATTTACTAATTTTTAATATTTACTGAAAGAAAATAGTGTTTTGTTTATACTTACTGAGTTGCTTAAAATGTCTGAATATATAGACTTTCCCACTTTGCTACATAGCATCATTAATGATTTCAGAAAACTTAAGGCCAAGGACCAAAATTAGAGGTCTAACAAAGTATTTCTTAGATGCTAAGCATCCTTTACCCTACAAACTTAAGCTTTTATCATTCTCTTTACAGCATAAGGGATTTGTAGGTCCACAAAGACAGTAAAATTGTTCCTGTTCTCTCCTGTCACTATCTTCAGAAATAATTTAAAATGTACATAGTCTTAAAATATATTTTTTTTGCTGCTGGCCAGTACAGGGAACTGAGTCCTTCACCTTGGTGTTTGAAGGCTGTGCTCTAACCAACTGAGCTAACCAGCCAGCCTGATATAACATTTTTAAAAAACACCCAAAAGCTGCTAATGAGGCAATCTGTTTAAACAGGTACTGAAAAGAAATGAAAGGAGGACAAATTATTGGTTTAAGATTATTAAAGTCTTTTTAAAAGATGAGACAGTTCTCCCAGTCATGGCAGTTATGATTCAAGAGTGAATTTAGAATTATTGGAGAAGGAGTAGATTCACTTTCCACTTGGCTCTTCCATCAGTTTTTTTTTTTTTTTTTTTTTTTTTTTAAGAAAGATGGCTGGAGGGACATCCAGAAAGATTCTTTGTTCATGCTTATAGGACCATGGCTTCCCACACTTGTGTTAACTTCTCTTTGCTGACAGTGTTGAGGATAATGTGATTTTGATCGTACTGTACACCCCCTGAAAGAAAGGAAAATAATAAAAGGAAATGTGACCATGGCAAAGGGGCTATAGCAGATATCCAATATAAGACAGCAGTGTATCCCAACACCACTATAGCACAAGAAAACAAGGTAAAACAACTGCAGACCTCAAGGAAACAAAGAAGGGAGAGAAGCCCTGAATGTGCCCCCTCCCCCTCATGGAAGAAGATTCACCCTGCTACGGGCGAATCTGTTAGGATCCTACCATAGGGGCACCAGCAGCTTCACACAGGATATCCTGCCTCACCAGAATCCTTTTTCTACCCAGTTCTTAAAAGCTAATCCAAAGTCACTCTTACAATGTGTGAAAATGAGGGGAACAGGGGAAAATCTAGAGAAGGGAAAAGGAGCAAAGACATATATGTGTATATAAATATGTGTGTGTGTGTGTGTGTGTGTGTGTGTATATATAAAAAAGATATATTCAGTGGTGAGACTGTGGATCTGAGATCCCAGCAAGGAAAAAGCAGGCAGACCTGGAAGTAGTAGAAAGGTAAGAGGAATGGTTGTCAGAGGAACAAGGTTTTGTAAAAGTAGTGAAAAATGGCTGTATTATTAAGTCAAAAGGGAGGTTTGAATGACACCCAGAAGTATGCAAAGGGACAGGGCAGCACTCTACTGGGAACACAGTTGGTGTATAAAAGTTGACAGCATTTAAGATGCTGAGTGCCATCATACTGTACAGCTAGTATCATGAACTCCATAACTCCCTTTCGCAAGAATGTAAGATTTTCCTAGGGTTGTTACTCGATATTTCAGATCTTTAAGTGTTAAAAACAGCCTCACGGCTTCTTTCAATAGGTAAGTATCATTAACAAAAGAAAGGGTCATCTGATTTTTTTCCAGTGTGGAATAAACATCCTTTCAGATACCTTATCCTTTTTTAGCATAAGCCTCTTTACCAAGGACCCCATCAAAATAAAAATGTGTGTCTAGATGCAGGGGGTGACTGGTATTGAAATCTTGCTTCATACTCAGGCAAAGAAATAAACATTCTTCTCTCCATTAAAGCATTGACTAAATATCAAAAAGGTCTGAAAACTTACACAATAGATCTAGGTAGTTGGGGAAGGAAATCATCTCTCTTATCCATCTCTTGTTAAGAAATCAGTTTATCATTACTGATATCTAGAGCCGCTATACAACCAGCTATAGTATAAAATACAAGGGGCAAGGGGCCTTGGGACTTTTATGTGTAAGTCTGCAGTGAGAAAAAAAAGTGGCCACCACCAGCAAACCTCACACTCTCTACCGAGACACACACACACAAACACCCCACTGAGATTTCAGGAAGTATTAAGGTCACAATGTCTTTTTTTTTCATGTTTCAAGATTATAGTATCTTAACATACTTTTTTGCATATTGCATCAATTCTAATTGGATCATGAAGACTAGAAAGTTCTGGAGAAATAATTTGATTCTTTTGCCCTTGGAAAGAATTTAAATCATCTCAGATTTTTGATGTTTTTTAAAGTGCACACGAATTAGCTTCCACTGTTGTAATAAGGTATGTGGTCTGGAAGAATACGTGAATGTCTACCAGGACTACTCACTCCCCAAGCACAAGGACATGGACTAGAAGAAAGACACCTGATCTGATAAGTCTTATGTCAATTTTAACTGGCAAAAATAGTTCAACAGTTGTAGCTAATGAAAATTAAGGTCTTCTATTAAGAGTACCAAAGAATGTGTTGTTTCCGTTGCAGGGTAAGTATGTGGGATGTTCTGTCCTACTCTCTCGTGGCCACAAGATGGCATCATTCTCCCACATTCCTGAGAAATTTAAATTTAGTTGAACAAGACTATTGCAGCCGTACTAGACACTGAGCTCACAAATATACAGGATATTATCCTTACTCAAGAGGCACCTGACTAATTTATAATATATTTTAGGAAGGAGCCTTGGAGCTTTAAAGTAAAGCCACCTAAGGGTGAACCTCCCAGCGTCCCGCAGTTCATGTCAGAGCCAAGACTAGGAGCCAGGTGTCCTTACTTCTGGTCCACTCTAATGTAGTAAGTGGGGGGGAAATCCTATATGCTGGGAGCATCTAGAATGTAAGCCTCCTGAAGCAAAGGTAATAGTCATTTTTTATCCCTGCTGTGTACCACAGAGCCTGCCACATAGTGGGTACCCAGTAAATACATGTAAGTAGAATAAAAGAAGAAATAGTATAAGAATTACGGCGACCTTAATCCTGGACACAGGAAACTGATCACATATGTAAGAAACATGAAGGTTTGCTCAACCTTCCTTTTGGGACTAAATATCCTAATTTTTCTAACACTTCCTTTAAAAACTCCATTTTTCCAATTTAGTCACATTTCTTTCTCTGGAGATTTTGAAACTATTTTGTATAGACTGAGGGGCCCCAGTGCAACAAAAGTGATCAGAATAATAGAAAGGTCTGGGTCAGTGATTTTTTTTTTTTTTTTTTTTGGTCTTCTTTTTTTCGTGACAGGTAACGGGATCACAACCCTCGGTGTTGCACCCGCACCGCGCTCAACCAGTGAGCGGACCGGTCTCTATATGGGATCCGAACCCTCGGCAGGAGCGCCACCGCGCTCCCAAGCGCCGCACTCTACCGAGTGTGCCACCGGGCCGGTCCGTGGGTTAGTGATTCTTAATCAGCTTGAACCTCAGGTGATCATCTATAAATTGGATATTTTACCTGTCTACACACTGACAAATCTTTTGCACCCAATGTAATGTGAGAGAGGTATACTATATATTATTGTTCATTTTCTGAATGTTGCATTTGTTTTCTTGTATCTAAGAGCACTACTTGCATTTTGAGATTTTTTTGGTTCTCCATCCAGCCTGTAGTTACATCGCTTGATCTGTGCTCGCTAAGTGCTGTACTCTGCCTTTGCCTTCATTAAACTTAGTTTGCCTTTGAGCACCTTTCCAACTTCAAGTTCTTTAAGATTGTAATCCCATTGTTAAGTGGGTTGGCCACTCTACCCAGATTATCCAGTAGTGACAGCCACTTCTGCTCCCCTCACGATCAAAGCACCAATGATAATTATCCAGAAAAGATTTTAAAAATCAGATTACAGCTATTTCTTTACCCCTGCATCTTAATTTTTAATGACAGCAGTGGTCTAGAGGCCTGATTAAAGTAATATTGAGACACTTCTAGAGATTATTTAAAATGGAGTATGTACTGTAGTATGGTTACATTAACACCAGTTCAAAAACTTATAAAACTTAATCATGCTGACTTTCCTAATAGGGAATAGAAAAGTGCCCATTTATACTTTAAAGCAAAATTACACCAGGTGACATGAATAAAACACACTAACTTCATTTGCTTGTCAATAGCAACAACACTAGTTCACTGAATTTCCATGTATATGTTAGGTCAGTTTTTCTTGCTTTATGTTATTTTTAAATTACTATCAATGGGTCTCCTGGTGTGGTCCCCAGATCAGCAGCATTGGCAACACCTGGGAACTTATTAGAAATGCAAATTCTCAGGCCTCACCCCAGACTTACTGAATTAGAAAATCTGAGGATGTGGCCCAGCAATCTGTGTTTTAACATGCCCTTCAGGTGATCCTGATGCAAAAAAAGTTGTTTGAGGACCACCAGCCTAAACTGATTCTTTCCTGAGCACCATCAGTTCACTCTGGATTAACTTCATTGAACACATGTTCCCTTGAAATTATCTTGGCTGTGTTTAATTCCTTTTAGATCTTTTCAATGAAAGGGTACAGGTATATACACGAGAATCATCAACTATACCGACTAAGCAAGATCACAGCCTTTTAGGTTGTGATTTTTTTTTTTTTTTTTTTTTTTTTTTTTTTTTTTTTTTTTTTTTTTTT